TAAATCGCATATTTACGTACTTCATTGACAAGGAGTCCGACGTTTGAACTTTAAATCAAGCGAGTGGTTCTGGGTGCCAATGGCAGCACATGTCTTTTGTTTTGATCCTACTAGAAATGTATGGGAACAAAAGGCTTCCACAAGCACCAATCACCATAAGCGTACGGGCTATTTTTTGCCAGGGGGGGCGGTAAAACATTTGCCCAAAAATTTTTTCAAATTGCCCAAATTTTTACAAAAGAGTCGAACAGAAACGAGGGCCGATGCAACAACATAGGTCGTACTGGCATAAATGGCTCGATACAGTTTTTCAGGGTCAATACCTGCCAAGTTTGAGCATAAACTACGTCGCCATAAACAAGCATTTGGAAAAATTGCCACCACAGTTGTATTAGATAAAGATGAAAATTTGTTGTGATCAGGGTTGCAATGACATCGGAGATGTCATAGCAACGAAATGAGGCCATTACATATTATACTTGCAGCAATATTTCTCCGTGGAAACTGTTCTTCTAAAATCGATCACAGAGGCTTTTTCCTCCAATAGTCGCCTCGATGTTCGTGAAGTTAAAACGGAATCTGTAAGAGCGTCATCGAGACATTTTGGGATAAAGTTTTTATCGTTGGAAATACGGTACAAAAAAGGAAAATCTTGATGTTTGGCCGTAATCTGTAGAAAACGATGCGCTTTTGACATGCAATTTCACCTCATAGTAGTTTCAATCTTTTTAAAAACTTGGGTGAAAGATCATGGAGATAGTTCCGGCCAATTGCTACAAAGAAGGATTTGATTAGTATGTATCGTGGCGCTCTTGTTAGCGGGTTTGTAAACATTTCAGTCTACTTTAACAAATTAGTGAATAATTTTAAACCGCCTGATAGGTTTTTTTTAAAAAATTAAGATTCTTCTCGCAATTCAAACTGAGAATTAGTCAGCCACTTCTTCACTTTCAGACCCATTGCTGATGCTATCTGCCATACACTGTTTTACGAGCGGAGATGATTCTAGAATTAGAAAGTTAGGCGGAAGTATATTCTAATAACTAGTTCACGACTGGAAATAGCCCATTGCAGTACAGTTCCCAACAATAAAAAAAAATCAGCATATGATAACCTTCCCTTATAACCAGAAACTCATCACGCTCTAGGCAGCCACTCGCTGCGGAGTTGTGTCAATGTAACTGGATTATTAGGCCGACGTCAGGTTAAAATAGAAAATATTTATCCCTTCAAAATAATAGTAAAAACATGGAGACGTCCTTAAAAACTGGCTTTGCCCAAATTTTCTCGTGATGCCCAAAAAATCTGAGTTGCCCAAAATTTGGGGGGGCTGCAGCCCCCCTCGCCCCCCCCGGCCCGTACGCCTATGCCAATCACTTTGTTCCAGCCTCTTAGTAGTAAACAATAAACTCTATGTAGCTGGGGGAAAGTGCACCATCGATAGAAATACTGCTGAACCATGCGGTGGTACAGGTTCTGTTGAAGTGTAGATGAGAAAAACAACACTTGGTCTGTTGTAGACCAACCACACATTCCCCCAAATAACCTTGGGGCAATAGAAGTTGAAGAGGGGGTTTATTTCATCATCAACAATTTTCCAGTAGACAGTGGAATTAGGATCCCACCAGGGGAGGTGTATCCTGTTTCCTTGGATGGGTGGGAAAATTTAGGAAAGGTGGCCATAAATGCAGTTTTGTGTCACGTGCCAGTTAAAAGGAATGACGCACTCTAAAAAGGTTAAGGTTGTAAAATGTCGAAAATGTCAAACTACAATCAAAGTTCTGAAACCTTTGCACAAAATTTAGTATATAATGTCTCTGTTTGGACTAAGTTTTCTGTTAATGCCCAGTATACCGCGGGAATGATATAGGCACATTAAGGCTGAGAAGTTGTGAGTTTAATAAGGTGATCTCTAGATTTTAGTTTTTAAAGCATCTACAAAAGAGTTGACTGTCGTAAAATACAGAGCTCATCGCTAATCAAATAAGAGACCACCCTAGCGGGTAAATATTGCACTCACTTATAATTAACACTTAATAAGAGGTCGTTGCTTTTTAAAGATTCTGTCTACAGTGAATTACTAGCAATTTTCTCGGGACTGTGGTGACTGGCCGCTAAATAGGGGGTAGCTTAATAAAGGTTGGAGTGTACCAGCACTGTGCAGTAGTGTATTCCGGTAAGAGATTTAGAATCGATTAGTCACCAATTCAGGATTTTCCTCCTTCTCGTGACCCTTACACTCAGTATGGTTTCTATTCTCACCGTCAGGCCTGCTATCCTCTGAGGTTTCCCCGGAGTCCTTTCTGTTGCCCACTTGTTACTGCCTATTAGACAAGGTCCACGTTAATCGGGTCGAGAAAACCTCAGGGGGACTAGGCTATATGGGTCTTTGTTTATTATCATAGAGTTAAACTCAAATTTTAAAATGTGTTTATGACTGCATGTTACCTTGTTCGTCATATTCTGGCGAAACAAACTATTTTAAAAAAACGTTTATTATTGATTATGTACAAATACCTGAAGTGAAACTGTTCTACTGGTTGAAAACACAGTTCCAGGATCTAGATGTAAGGTAATATAAGGTTATGAGTATTGATCAGGTCGAGTTCGTCTGACATAGACTTGAAAACGTTTGCGACTTGTTGGCAAAAGCGCAGCATTTATGCTTTGAGGTTATAAGCAACGTAATGAACCTATAATGGTGGGTGTTAACACGGACGGATTTGGCTTCAACTAGATTTGTTCATATCAATACCATACTCTTAACTTGAATTGTTTAATAATTCATTACTATTATGATGAGTACGTTTTTCTTCAATGTACTACTTAACATTTTCCAAATTCGAATAAAATTTCTCTGATCAACCATGTACGTTGATCTGCTTGTACTGTGTGTTGCCGTTTACTTCTTTCGCGGTCAATTTGCCAGTGAAATATCCTTTAAGGAGCTAGATCCGACGCTATTTGCCATCTTTTTAAAAAGCTAGAACGTCTCTTCGGATCAGTTAAAATTAAACAAAAATAATGGTCCAGTTCTGTTATTTAAGACTATATGTAAGTTAACTGTTCCTGCCGTCTGTTGTAACGGATAAAAAGGATGAAAGTGAATTGAAGCTTGGAAAAGTTTGGTCAAGTTTCTATGCTATGCCTGCAGAAAAATTAATGTGGTTATTGTTCCCTGATGAAATTTGTTTGATATCTTTATCAAAACTCTACAAGAGCATTTTGTGCATGGGTAAAAGCCGTGACTAATAAATGACTTGAGCACAGAATGGACCTCAAACAGTGATATCATCATGACATAGCCCTTTAAACCACAGGAACAGCTTAATACATAGTCTTTATGACCCAAGGACTCGAACGTAGGCTAGAGCTACAGGTTACAGTTTCAGACTCAATCTTGCTCTGTGGTTTTGGGTTACATGAGTGCGGGGCCTCTGGCAAGAACTACAGCTATCCATGACGATTTCATAACTGCCACTGCCCAGGTGATATGATGTGCGCATGCGCAAAGCGCTGACCATGACTTGCAAACTAACCTTGCAAACGGGTGTGGTAGTGTTTGCTTCGCTGCTGATTTCAAAGTCTTATAAGCTCCACATCCTTCACTGCAAGACGAGTGAATTATTTTATAAAATTCTCGAATACCAAGTAGAATATTGATAGTAAATTGATTCTTACGGAGCTTGAGAGAAGAAGAAAAAAACAAAGAAAAATCAAATGGTAATGAGCTCAATCTATTTCATGAAACACTAAGGCAGACAATCGTCATAATTAGGTCATGACAGGAACGTTACACCATCGGCTGGTTAAGCAACCCTTTCTTTTCCTCCATCATCCCTGGCTTGGGAACGAGAGATTACTGGTGAGCTCAATACGCCATTTCCAAGTTGGAACAAGACTCTGTTTTAAGCCGGCGCGGAAAGGGCGAAGCCTTTTGTATTGGTTTTTAAGAAGAGGGGAAAACTGAGTCCTCGGCCGTAAAAAAACCTCTCGTAGCAAGGGCGAGAACAAAGAACAAATTCAATCCACACATTTTTTTTCCTTTTTCCCCTAATGCGGAGCCTGGTCCCACGCTATCGAGTATCGATGCCAGGATTAGGAACACAATAGTGGGAGAAGACACCCTTGCTCCCCACTCTCACTCGTACACGTAAAGCTCATTTCTTAATAGGTTTGCTACTTGAGGGGTTTTTGAATTCAGAAATGGCCTATTGGCTGTGTGGTGGGCAGCTCGATTACCCCCACACACACCAGCCAGGTTTGAGGAGAATGCGCTGCATTTGTCACACTCATTTGCAAATGGTCAGGGAATTGTTAGAACTTCTATTCACTGGGACTTTTAAACAGTTTATTCCTTACGACAGTCCCCTCGCCGCTCTTCCTCAGAGATGAATACTGTTTAGACCGACATTTAATGTTTGTCGACCTGAGGCAACATTCTGTACTCAGAGGTATATGATACGTTATTGACCAAGCGTGACGTCAAGATAGCTGGATTTTAGCCAGTTTTTTTTACGTTGGACCCAAGCCATAGTTCAACCATACTGACTGAAGAGGCTTGGTCAATATAGTATTTATTATATGTCTAATGCGAAACTTCACTCTTTTAATCCTTCCTACGTTTGTGTTTACAGGATCAGAAAAGAAAGGGAATGTCTATTTCATTACATTTACCCTTTTCATATTCAAACCACGTTGAAACATTCTTCACTCTACTTCATGATGATGATGCTAATCATCGATATGTCGGACTGCACTACAGCGTATTTCTGTAGTTGAAGTGTTCACGTACACCTTCAAAGAGGAAATATTCTAAACTCGTATTAACACAGCTATACATTAATGCATGAACTTTCTCATAAACAACTTCATGCAGGGTCCTCCGTGTCGCTTTATAGCTCACGTTATCCTTATCGTAATTGATAGATTATAAACAAGATCACGCGATCACGCAATCCCACTAGTTCTGGCTCTGACGAGTTTTAGCCGATTTGAATATGGTTGGGCATTCTGAGATTCTTTTATCAAAGTGCGCTCAGTTTCGAGAGCAAGGTGAATTCATTGACGTGGGTTTAAAAGTCGGAGAAGAGGTATTCTCAGCTCATCGCATTGTTCTCGCTGCCAGCAGCGATTATTTTCACGCCATGTTTGCTCATGGAATGAAAGAGTCGAACCAGGAAGTGATCGAGCTCAAAGATGAAAGCATTTCAGCAGCTGCTTTGAAGATCGTGCTGGATTCCATCTACAGCGGAGATCTTCAAGTCAACGATGAAAACATATTTGAGGTTCTTGTCGCAGCCGATCACCTCCAGGTTACCAGTGCTGTTCAACAGTGTTGTGATTACTTGCAAACCCAGTTTGTTGATCAGCTCCGATTCGACGTGCAAACATTTTGTCGCGTCTCAGCGATTGCTGATCGACATGGTCTGAAAGATACGGAAGCCGATAAGGGACAATCCCAAAATATTAACGAAATCCGAAAAAATGTTTTTAAAATACGAAAAAAATATTTCAAATCGTAATGTCTTTTGGAAATCATCGTTGAAGAGTTTATCAAATCTGAAAAACTATTACAAATCCTAATAAAATTATTGAATCCACAAATATTATTTTGTAAATCCGAAATAAGTTTACAAATCCGAGAATTGTCGCTAAATCCTGAAAAATATTTTGCAAATCCAAAAAATTATTTTGTCACGTGTTACTTGCGCCAGCAGTCTGCTACCAACAGCGGTTTGCCCCATCCAAAATGGCGGAGTTTTGTTCGACTCGTACTCGTCGTGAACCCTGGAGGCAAATTTTGCTTCAAATGTGGTTCCAAAGTTGCAGGGATTTCACATCCGAGTGCAAGAATAAGTACATTCGAAGATGAGCGTGCTTCGTCCTCTTCATCTCTTCGTCCTCTTCCCTAGCTTACAAGCCCCCAGGGAGGAGGGGCGGGTGTGGGTTAATATATTTTGTCACGTTTCGCTAATGACACTGGAGTATGTTCATTATGTATGATTCGTGTTAACTGTAGAAGTACTTAAAGCGTGCTTGCAGGTATGATTAGGGAACTTAAGATAGAGACGTGTTCGGGGCGACGGCAACTTCAACCGGATGTGACATCATCATTTGTTGGATATTGCGCATGCTCGTGCTCACCACCTTGCCGTCGTGGTCCCGTCGGCGACGTGAAACTGGTCTGTTTGGCGTTGTGGCGAAAACGTGAGTATTAACTTTCATTTCAATCAGGTTTGTTGCGTTTAGCAACCAACATTTTGCAGATTATCGTTCTTAAATTGTCCTTGTTTTCTTTGAGGGACATTTCAAGCTCGATTTCCAAGCTCTGTTATCTAAACTTACATCTTTGAATGTTTCTATGTTTTCATGTCACAGGGTCAAGATCCAACTTGGCAAACAGCCAACCGTAAGTGAGCTTGCCATGGGACAAAATTTTCCTACGAGCCAAATGAAAGTATCCAGACAAAAAATATGAACTCCGATATTTCAATTGTGTGTTTTTAGTTCGCTCTTTTCGTTAGAATATCGTATAAATAAAACGCATTGAAAATTATATAGAATAGTAGGTAATACCATGTACTAACTCGGCGTGGGAATACTGAAATAAAGTTGTTGCAGTTGTTGTTGTTGTTGCATGCAAGTATTTCCCGGGAATTATTTCAATACCAAACTAAGAATACGGTTCCTTAGTAGCATTTTAATGTTCCTGTAATTTGCAAGGCTTCGGCAAGCCTGTGGAGATCATTTTTTTTCAACACGAAATTCTGCCTTGAACTCAGCTGCATGCCGAATGTTTTTTAGCGTGAACGGATCGTAACTGTCCCGAGGAAAATCGGGATTTTTGGACTCAAAATTTTCCCACAAAACGAGAAACTCTTCATCCGATACATGTTGTCTGCATAGCAAATATTTATTCTCTTAATTCTTTATGTGAAGCCATATTTTCTTCTTCGGTATTCTTCTAATTAAGGGTGCCGTCCTTCTGAGTTCACTGCGATCTTAATGTTCTATTTTTGACGGGAAGCGACGGCTGCCTTAGTTCCAGGCTTTCTCTGCCAGTCCGGTCGCCGTCGCCCCGAAAACGTCTCCATCTTAAGTTCCCTATTAATCCCTAGGGGCTTGTAAGCTATCAAGATTTTATAAGTTATGCAAGAGCCACACGAAGGCATCTCTTTCAACTTTGCTTTATTGTTCATTCACTGCTGTAATTTCTTTATGGTGATGTGTAAAACGTTCGCTGTATCAATAAACGAGATTCCCGTTCCTGATACCTTGTTTAGTTGAGATTAGTTATAAAATATTTAGTCAGATTTTATAATGGTTTTAGGGTGTTTCAAGTATAAAGAGTTTGTAATCGTTTACAATATAACACAAAGTACGATGTCAGTTCTTCCATAAATGTGGCAGAGAGTTTGAGAGCAATGGAGTATTCTGTCGGCAGTGTGGAACAATAAAGAGACATCAACAGGAAAGTCTGTGCAGTTCGGCAGAGAAGAGGCTGGTAATAGAACATTACTTTGAACTGAGGGGATTTAGGTACGATACCATTGTCCACTCGCTGAGCGAGTACCATGAGATCTATATGAACGGAGGTACTTTGAAAACTGAACTGGATCCTGGGTCTTGGATCGTTAACGTGTTATTTTTGAAACCGGCTTAGTTGTTTGGTTTGTTAAACTTAGATCCTCTGCGTTCTTCCGCTTTGGAGGTGAAGTATTGTGATAATGACTTCGAAGATGACGAGGAAGAAGCACGCTCATCTTCGAATGTACTTATTCTTGCACTCGGATGTGAAATCCCTGCAACTTTGGAACCACATTTGAAGCAAAATTTGCCTCCAGGGTTCACGAGTGGAACAAAACTCCGCCATTTTGGATGGGGCAAACCGCTGTTGGTAGCAGACTGCTGGCGCAAGTAACACGTGACAAAATATTTTTTCGGATTTGCAAAATATTTTTCAGGATTTAGCGACAATTCTCGGATTTATAAACATGTTTCGGATTTACAAAATAATATTTGTGGATTCAATAATTTTATTAGGATTTGTAATAGTTTTTCAGATTTGATAAACTCTTCAACGATGATTTCCAAAAAACATTACGATTTGAAATATTTTTTCGGATTTCGTAAATATTTTGGGATTGTCCCTTATCGGCTTCCGTAGAAAGACCTTCAAGAAGCAACGCAGACATAGATGGCCTACATTTACAAAGAGATTTGTGAAAGTGAAGAATTCTTGTCCCATGTGGATGCTGATCAGTACACTCGCCTTCTCAGTCGAGATGACCTTAGTGCTCCTTCAGAGACATTCGTCTTCAAATCCGTGATGCAGTGGATCAAACACAAGAAGGAAGAGAGGATGACAGCCGCGGCTAAAGTTATCGGAGCGGTTCGTCTGGGGCTGGTTGATATCAAGGCTTTGATTGAAGAACTTAACACAGAGGAGATGCAAACAGTACCAGAGATTCATACGCTTCTGTTTGACTCCGCTATTTATCACCACAATCCTTCAAATACTTCCAAGTTTGCCACAGAGAAAGCAAAACTCCCGTGAGTATAGAGTTATATTGATATCATCATGGTCCTCTAATGGGTCTAGGAGTTTCGTCTGGGATGTCATGGAGTCTTTAATTTCTTTGTTTAATCTTAGCTTAAGGGTAAAGATTTTTGATGCCTAGCCAAGACAGCCGATAGGAGCATTTGATAAAATATATATTTTTTGTTTTATTCTTTTGTTTGCTTCTTCATCGACTTGCCGTATAGCCTGCGGACAGCAGACGCATCTCCGGTCGTCGCTTCTCTCCCTCCGAAAAATAGCTATTTTTCGAAGGGAGAGAAGCGATACTTGCCGTTAGGATCACTCAGTTTGCCGTTTCATCATTTTCTACAAGTTATTATTGTATTTATCCAGGTCTACAACTGGGAAATCCAGCACCACTCAACGGTTTGTCGCCGGGGACTTGCTGACATTTTTAAATAGGATATTGCTGGGGAACATTGTTTGCGGCTTCAGTACAATTTCTTTCGGGATCTCTAAATTTTTTTTTAAAAAAAAAATGATTTTCGTAAGCGGCTCCCTTATCACTTGTCAGAGCGAACCTAAATTTAATAATCAACCATAAGGGTACTACGAATAATAATAATTGAAAATGTTGTAAACCGTCCTTTCAAAAGCTCGTGCAATTATTGGCTTATGCCTCTACAAAGTCCTCACAGTTGACCGGAAAATCGACTTTAGGGAGAGGCATTCACGTCCTTTCACGCGCGTAGCTATTGTTGGTTAGACAAAGACAGTTTCCAAACGGCTTCAACAGTAGAAGTTAAAATATCAGCATACTCTTTCCAAACCCAAAAAAGTATTTCGTCGGCTCCAGTGGAGGTATTCCTGATGTTGGATAGAGCCTTTAAAACCTGAAATGTCGACAGCTGCGGTCACGGTTGAAGCGGTTACAGCAACTTACATCAGTGCAGGTTCAATACATCTCTCATCCTTGCATAAATCAAAGAACCTGCTTCTTAAATCTGCCTTGTCCTTCCGTCGAGGTTTCGCCACCAACCCATGGAACACCTCTTCCCTCCAGCTAAAGCTTTACGACCTTTGATGGTACAATTACTTGTTCTTTGCTTTAGTTGAACGACATGTTTGGCCGTGTAGAGCTTGGAGTCAGGGTTTGTTTTTAAAAAGAGTAGTAATGAGAGGTGTCAACCATACAGGATATCTCGAGGATACTCGGACAGTTTTTAACAAACAGCTGTTGCAGGCCAGATTGTAAACAAGATGGAAGCATTAAAGATAAAGTTGGTATGGTCAAGAGGGAATAGATTACTCTCTCTTGGTATATGCCAAGGTTTCCCATGGTCCCAGAGGAACACCCCAGCACCCCCAAAAAAAAAATTAGCTTCCCCTCCAAACCACCTCCGAGGGAAAATTTACCAATACCTTTACTTTCCCTCAACTACCGAACACTCAAATCATATTTCAGTGAGTAATGAACAATAAATCAACAATCAAATACCGTTACTAGGCGTTATCGGTCGAAGTACATCTCTACTACTATGATTGAAGCGTGGAATCTCTGGGCATTTTACGCTTTATTTATTGCTGATTTTAATCAGCGTAATAGTAACCTTATTGCCAGTGCAGGTTCAGTTATAGCTGTAATATAACGGTGACATTTTCCAGTGCGAACACCAACTGTCACTCTCAACCAGTTGAACTTCAGTTGAATCGTCGCTTTTACTTATCATTGCAGGTCCTTGTTGCTGTTCTTCCTCAGTTTCATATGATATATTTTGATGTTGAAGAGAAACAGTGGAAGCAACTATCGTCCTTAGCCCCAGTGACAGATATAGTGAATTGCTACTGTGCAGAGACTGTTGGTAGGCAACTGTTTGTCGCCGGAGATATTGAAGGTGTAGGTTATTCTACTTACTACTATGACATAGAAACAAATAAATGGCAAAGGCATGAGGATGCACTTCCATGTGGCCAAATCAGCAGCCTGTGCACTGTAGGCGATTACATGTATGCAGTACCTTCTGACTACAGCATGATACCTCAACGGTATAGCTTTGCGAAACGTCAGTGGCAAAGTTTCGCAAAATTTTCTCTTAGTTATCATTACAGCTATTATCACAACAACGGTGCAACGGTACTTCACTCTAAATTGTATGTACTCAGTGGACTGAGCAAAGAGGACCCCTTTACGGGGCGTTATTATGCACTGCTACATTGTTTTGATCCAGTGACTAATTTGTGGGAGCAAAAAGCTTCAAGCTGTAATCCTCACTTTGGGTCAACTCTGCTTGTAGTGAATGGCAGACTCTATGTAGCAGGGGGTTATCAATCCTTTAAGGGTAGGCCCTGTGGTAACCCAGCAGCTGTAGAAGTTTACGATGAAGAAAACAACAAGTGGTCCGTTGTTGACCAAAAACATATTGCAGAAAACAACCTTGGTGCAGTGGAGATAGATGGGAGGGTTTATTTCATCATCAATAATTTTCCAATTGACAGTGGCATTAGAATCCCACCAGAAGAGGTGTACCCTGTTTATCTGGGTGACTGGAAAAATTTAGGAAACGTTTCTAACAATGCAGCCCTGTGTTACGTACCTTTAAAGAGGGACAGTGTTCAAGCGGACTAGGGATACTTAGGAAAACTCCCTCAGGTGGCTGAAACTTTGACCGAAAGGCAGCCAGAAATGGGTTTACGTCTTACAATACATCAGATAACCGATCCGCTATACTGAGATATTCGAAAACGAAAGTTAGATATTAAAGTTTAAGCTGTATTCTTTACTGTATTTCCCACTTCGATTAACTTTTGAATTGTCAGTGTGGGCAGTATTCATGTATATTTTTATAGTATTTTATAGTATTTTTATAGGAATGAATAGTCAGGTAAATCACTTTTTTTTCGGGTTCTGTTTGCATTGATGTTAAGAAATTTTGTAGCAAGTATGCAAGGTATTTTACACCACCTCCATATTGGATTAATTTTCTAGTACTCACGTAGGATTTATTGAAAACACCTGTATGGTACCGTTACAGTTAATCAAATAAATATACCAAGCTTCTTAAAGATGTAATGTTTTTGTTATTTCCTTTCAATAACGAGGAAAGATGTCTATTTTGCTATTAAATCACCCATCGAACGCGAGCAATTCTCGTTTTGCTGCGTTAGTCTAAAATTGACCGTGAACCTTACTTTTTTGATAGATGACTTTCTTGTCAAATTCTAGACAGATTGCTGACCGGTAATAAAACAACTCAAAGTTCGAAAAAATTCACATTTTCCTTCCCAGGCGGCATCACGTCCTGCCAACTTGCGGCTTTCAAACCAGAGCAAAGTGGTCGTTAATTAATTTGATTCACTTACCTGATGAATCAATTTGCTTAACAGACCCACTTCTACAAAAGGGAGGGGATGTATATTGGTCGGCATCCACTCTTTCTACCGACTACGCAGGTTTTATGGAAAGAATAAAGCATCAAAGCTTCCCTATACCCCAAAACAAACACAATGTAAAGCCTCTCTCAGTACTTTGGGTATGGGATATGGCTGTGTGCATGTGTAAGATACTATAACCATACCCGGAGCGCACCGTGTGTCCCGGTGCTTTTAGTTGGTAACGTTATTATAATTTATGTTGTTAACAGGCTTCCGTTGTATTACTTTACTACATAACTGTATTATTTTCGAGAAGCATTATATGGCACTCTTGTGCGGCGTGGTAGCGGTCCCTTCGTCCTCTTGTGTGGCGGCTGCACGATGGTTCCTGGGTATCGAGGAGCCGCTTAACGAAACTGAGACTGAGCGTGAGCTCCAAACGGAACAGCGGCGTGAGCATCTACAGTCATGGGCTGGGCTGCCACAACTTGGTGGAATAGGAAGGGAGGGGATGTGTGTAGTGTACACTTGTTGGATAGCGGGGTAACCAACATTTGCTTGTGTGGCTTGCCAGTGACTGGGGGAAGGGTGGGGATCTGGCTGTGTTGGTACAGATGGCTTGCCAAGTCTGTTGGTGTTGTTGGTTGACCTGGGAGTGCGTCCACTTGGACTGGCCTAAAAAACATCCCACAGCTTGCAAAGTTCTTCGCCAACTTCGGGCTCCAACTCCTGAGAACCAAAAAGGTATCTTGTTACAAACAATCTGCAGGGTTCTGCCTCTAAATTAAACGATCGTCTTTTTCAGTATATATTACAATTCTATGTCGTCTATCTTCCACGTTGTCCGTAATTCATGCTCCTACTTGCCACATATTCACCAATCACCTAAATATCCGTCTCTCCACTCCCAGTACCCGTATCTCTGAACCGTATCCACTCCCTTTCACGAGAGTACTTCATCCCGGCTGCCATTCTCCCTTTCTCCTACGTCTGTACTTGAACCACACATATTCTGTCAATCTTGTTGTAAACCTTCCTGTCCCATCAATACGCTGATAGCAGTACTTAGAAAACAAGCCCCGATTCCACACGTAACACCCGCTTGTCTTTCACCAGTTTTTCAAAGAGTTACCGTACCCTTAGTAAGCCTCCCTGTTTTACCTATGTGTTCATAATCAACCTTACGTTCTTTTGCTCACACTCCTTTACATCAGTACTCCTTTTCCTCACACGTTACTCCTTTCATCTTCCACCAGGAGGCGCTCAACACTGATCCTACCCATCGCTGATAATCAACTTCACGCTCATCTGTACACTTATTAAATCTGTGCTCCTTCCTTGCACACATTACAGCCATTTGTCGTCCACCCATGCACTATACACTGAACCATTTGTAACCCATACCATGATAATCCTTTCTCGCTCTTCGTAACAAATTCACACCCACTACTTCCACTCAGTTACTCCATTTTGTACCCTTTACATCTGATCCCCATTCCTTTCTATCTATACACGTCTAAAGAAACATACTGTGCTTTTACTTTTAACACATAGAGTAGTCAGGATGAAGTTCTACCTGCCCATTACGAGTGATCTGAACCTTCTTATAGTCATTCCACGGGTTTACCAAATGATGAGCGTGTTGGAATGGAATGTTAGCGCTAAGGACGAAGGAAAATGAAACGAATTATTCTTTGCTTTTCTGATCATAGTCGCACTCGTTGCGTTAGACAGAACCTGTAGATTTGCGGTACACTTTTTTGAAAGAGTCCACTTCACTCAAAAAGCAATGTAAGGCAATGAAGTGCAGGTTTCATCGACGTTGCATTCTTTAGGCCGCATTCATTATGTATAGCACAAGGGGGTGGGAGGTGGGGGCGCAGAGGATTTTGGGGAGTTCTTTTTGGAGGGAAAAGGGGAGATGGTAAACATTTCTGAAGGCAGGAACGGGAGGATGCCAATTTTTTAGATGTCATTGAAAGATTAAGTATTTGTAACATAATCACTAAACAAGTGAAGTTCCTTATTTTCTAGTTCAATGAAGGATGTTTTTATCATTAATGCACTAAACTGCAATGTCCTTTACTTTGTGTAGTAACCAGCTCTATCTACCTCATCATTACCACCTTTACTTTTATCTTGCTTTTATTATAATAACGTCACAGATTGTTTTCATTCTCATTGTCATCATCATCATTGTCATCTTTCATCGTTATAATCATCATCACCATAATTATCATCAAAATTAACCCTCCTTTCTCTCTTTCAAAGCTGTTAACGAGATGATTTAATCCTCAGCTTCAATGTTCGCAAGAGTTAAAGTCAACTTTCCCAGCTCAGAGGGAGTGAAACTGGTTTGCTGGCTCTGCAGTTACGCTGCAATAGTCGGTCGAGCACGGTTCAAAAGTGATCATATGCAAATTCCCATCAAGTTGGCGGCAAATTTTTAGAAAGCTTCTTTGATTTACATCAAGGATGGAATTTCTTAGGAGAGAAATTTCTTACGATTGTGATGTCATTAAATGATATCGATCGAGGACTCGATGTCTGTAGAAAGCTTTCCTTCTATTTATTAAGCCACAATCGGTAGCTTGTTGAGAATATTGTTTGTGTCAACAGACCCCACAGTTTTCAGTTTTTGTTTAACCAAGGTAAATTTTGACCCGATGCATAAAAAATGTTATATTGATTTTTTTTTTTTCGCTTGGTGATGCAATGCTCTAGCTGGTAATTTGGCCTTAATTTTGAAAACAGTGACTTAACTTCCAACTCCTTTTTTGGAGAGATCAGTATTTGTATTTTCCGAATGCAAAGTATATGGACCTTTCTTCAGAGGTAGGCCGACTTGCAATCCCCTTTTCTTTTTGTGCCTAAAGGGATCAGGCCATTCAGTATCTTTTAGCACTAGTTGTATAATAGCTTTTCATCTGCCCTTTTGCTGGCTTTTTCTTTGATTGTCTTCTTTTCACTTGGGCTTGTTCTTTGCTAATCTACATTTAGGTCCCAAATTTAACCTATCTAGGGATCGATAATTTCTTTTTACTATTGAATCTATAAGCTGCCACATAACCCCGGCATGCAATTTCCTAGTGGAGCACAGCCAGCTTTTATTTCTTACCTTTTGTTTTTGTTTTCTACCTTTAAAAAATCTCTGCACCATTTCATCATATTGCCCATATTTTACTTTCCTCATTAAGACTAAGCGGGTGGGGGATTGTCACTTTTTCTTTTGGATAAGAGGGGGGAAACGAAAAAATTTTGCCCCTTTAAAAATATCCTCTGCAACCTCCCCCTCCAACCCTTCCCCCCCCACCCTTCCCCTGCGGTATACATGTTGAATGCAGCCCTATTTAAGAGATTAGGGAGTTTAGCAACGAGAATGTCAAAACAGCCATACGTTTATTAAGCAAAACAGCAAGTTTGGACGTTTTCCCACGCTTTTTTGTACACTTCTTTGACGTTACTACACGACTACGACGTGAAAATGCCTAATTTCACGTTTTATAGAAGACGTAAACAAGCGACCGCGAAATTTTCTGTCTCTTTCTGAACTTCAGTGCGGTCCCAAGAAATCTACCGGCCAGGAAAATTTGCCTATATTAGGCATTTTCAGCAAATTGGAATAAACACGACAAAGTTTGAAAACACGCTTATTCCATTTTAAAAGTGACGTTTTCGCTGCCGTCACCGTCCCTAATGGGGTATGAGACCCTGCCGGGGTAAATTCCGACAAGCGACAGGGCCCAAAAAGTAGCGACATCGCGTAAAATGAAATCACGACAAGAGACAACCTCCCTCCGACAACAGTGACGGACGAGCGACTTGCCCACCCACCCTGGCGGGGCCTCGGGTATCATGTAGCACATACTTCAGAACTTTCTTATCAAGACTTCCGTGACGCTTTATAGCTCACGTGATCAGTGTCTTGATTGGTAACCTGTTGGATCACGCGATCACGCAAGGCAGCCAGTTTCTTCGCTGATTCAGTATGGTGGCCCATTCTGAGATTCTGTTGTCAAAGTGTGCTCAGTTTCGAGAGCAAGGTGAATTTATTGATGTTCGTTTACAAGTGAACGAAGAAGTTTTCTCTGCTCATCGCATTGTGCTTGCCGCAAGCAGCGATTATTTTCACGCCATGTTTGCTCATGGAATGAAAGAGTCAAACCGGGAAGTGATCGAGCTCAAAGATGAAAGCATTTCAGCAGCTGCTTTGAAGATCGTGCTGGAGTCCATCTACAGCGGACACCTTCAAGTCAACGATGAAAACGTATTTGAAGTTCTTGTCGCAGCCGATCACCTTCAAGTTAAAACTGTCGTTCAACAGTGTTGCGACTACTTGCAAAACCAGTTTGTTCAGCTTCGATTTGATGTGCAGAGATATTGTCAAATCTGCATCATCGCTAATCGACACGGACTGACAGACCTACAAGAAGCTGCACAAAGCAAGATGGCGTCAATGTACAAGGAAGTTTGTGAAAAAGAAGAATTCTTGTCCCATATTGACGCCGATCAGCTCTCACACCTTCTCAAACGAGATGACCTGAGTGCTCCTTCGGAGACGTTCGTCTTCAAATCCGTGATGCAGTGGATCAAACACAAGAAGGAAGCGCGAATGCCAGTCGCGGCCAAAGTTATCGGAGCAGTTCGTCTGGGGTTGGTAGACATCAAGGATTTGATCGAAGAACTCGAAACCGATGAGATGCAACAGGTGCCAGAGATTCACATGCTTCTCCATGAATCGCTATTACATTTCGCCAGGCCTTCAAACAGTTCCAGCTTTGCTAAAGAAAAGGCACAACCACGATCAACGGGTCGAGTAAGTTTATATGTTTTTACAATTTTGTCTCAGAGGGTTTCGCCTTAAGGGGTCGGGGTGTCCGTATCCTAGTTCGTTTTCACCCGTTTTGACCTTAACTTAATTCCAATCCTACTTTATAGTTAGAGGCTAACAAAAAATGTGCCTCCCCACGGATCACCATTTTTTGGACTGAATTTCAACAAATTCATAAAAGATGGGTGAATTTTGCACGCAACCGCCTCATTAGTAATTCAAGAAACTTGTAAGTGCTCGGGCTACAGGAACGGGTCTTCGTTCTAGATGAATATCTCAAGCAGCCTGGGCGCTAGCGAGACTCATAATCTGCAACCCGTTTTTGGTCGTATTTTATACACAAATGGGGGGGGGGGGGTCATTGTGCCAGGCGTTCCTAGCGGAGACCGTGGAAACTGGAACAAAGAATCGTTGCGTGATCGAAGTCACACGTGTTTAGGAAAGATTTAAAAATTTAGAGCTTTTCCGAAACGTGTTGGTCCACGAATTCTATCGCTTCAAACCGTTGATTACTTTGGAACAAGTGAACACTACTGAGTAGTTGAAAAAAAAGAAATAAGAATCTTAATTAGCAAACCTGCGATGGTCGGTTGTTGTGATGAGAATGCCGTTTACTTTCGGCGATGATTGAAGTGACGTGCCGTGTTAATCTTTTTTTTTATCTCTGGCAATGATGTAATTTCTCTGGAATCGAGGCCCTTGAATTTTTGTTACACGCGTATAGCCTGCGACCACATGGCGTATTTCCGGTCGTCGCTAACACTCGGACTAATCAATTCAGAACCAAGTAAAAAGTATCGACGTCGATAAAGTAGGAAGTAAAAAACCTTTAGCGAGTAAATGCTGTTTCGTGTAGAATTAATGACCTCCTCATTTCTCGATCTAATCTCCAAGCAAGTGTCGCTGTAAGCGCGTTCTTGTTTTACAAAAAACGGTTACGGTAGGTCTTCGATTAAAATTCATACTTGGTTCGAGGCTTGGGGGAATAAAACAAAGGAAATCTTTCATTCATCCCTGACCCTGAAAATGATTTATTTTGTTTCATTACCTCAAGCCTTGGAGCCAAGAATGATTTTTAATATCGAAAGTGGTCTATTGGCTACAGAATAAACTATAATGCAGTATGGTTCGAATCTTTCTCGTTTTTGCCGTCGTCCGTCCTCTTGTGGCTGTTCATGAAAACTGCTATTGATCGCCATAACAAAACTAGAACATAGAACCTACGAGAAGGGAATACTACTGAGTGCAAAATGGACAACAGCGAGACAACCTGACAACCCCCCTCCCCCCACATCTACATGGACTTAATCAATTAATAACTTGTTAGCCATATGTGGTTAGCAATTTTTTTGTTGTTTTTAATTTTAGTTATTTGGAAATAGTTGATGTAATATTTACTGTATAAGACTCCAAATAAAAAACATGTATGTATGTACTGGTATGTACAGGTATGTGTCTAAGTGTACGTTAATAGTACTTAAGGTGATTCCCTGGTTTTGCACTGCGCATCTCTTACTGCGCATAACAAGATGGCCGCCGTTAAAAAAGAGCATGTGAAATCACATTGTTAATTGAAGTTGACTGAAGAGAAACGTTATTGGAATTTTTGCTTGGGGTTGTTTCTTGCCGAGGTGAGACTCAATGAGTTGGGAATGTAATGTGCATAACGTAAGCAGTACGCTTGTTGCTGAATTCGACTTCCACACGGAGAACCTCGATAGTGGATGTTTTTAAACTTGTGCTTTCTCACTTTGATTTTCATTTAAACGCTTTGTTTATCACATTGTGTTCTAAATATGATATCTCGATAAAAAATTCTGAAAAAACGGATTTTTTAATACTTTCTTCCCCCTTTCACATACATTCTATTTTGAAACTCGCCCCAGTCCTCTCTCAAAAATCTGAGAAAATGCATTTGGTGCGCACTTTCCCGCAGCTCTACCGCAAAAACGAGTACGGTGACCCCCATTTTTTATTTCATGAGTTTATTAAGGACAGTGCTTCCTTTCGATAAGAAAAAAATTGGCTCAAATCTATGTTCAGTTTTTTGGCAATTTTACTAAATTGTACGGATTGAGCTATCACGGGTCGAATAGCGCGTGTCCGATTTAATTCTACTTTGGAGCGTAAAGTAAAAACAGGGGCATTAAAAGACATTTTTCTGGTACGTAAGTGGATAAGCAATACATTAAAGTCAAATTCTGTGCGATACCACATGCATCATCGAACAAATCTCTCCGTTTTGTCTAGTTTTGGGCTGCGCGCGGTTTTTGTCAAAGGGTTCTAAATAGGCGTATTTGTCAGCATTGTGACGTCAAAACGAGCACTGTGACCCCCACTTTTTATTACTTTTTTTATCATCTTTTTGTCTTGTTACATCAGTGTACCAAGTTTCATCTACAATCTATGTTAGGTTCTTTTACCAAGGAATCACCTTAGTGTTCAAAGTGCCGGGAAGCAAGTTAAATGAAAGACCCTCGAGTTCGTTGCCTTTCTTTTAATTTCGGTGTTATCGTCTTTGTAAATCTTATTTAAAAAAACCTTCCTCCTACATTTCCAAAAATATTTACCATTTACCAACGTTTTTACATTTTTTTTCTTGCTATTTTAGGTCATTGTTGCTATTCATCCTAAGACTCATATGATGTACTTTGATATTGAAGAGAAACAGTGGAAGCAACTTTCATCCTTGGCACCAGCAACTAAGAATGCAGTGAAATGTCACTGTGCCGAGACTGTTGGTGGTGAACTCTTTGTTGCTATTGATTCCTGTATTTATTGCTATGACATAGAAACAGATAGGTGGCAAAAGCACGAGGATCCACCACACAAAAAAATCAGCAGCCTGAGCACTATAGGCGATTACATGTATGCAATCAGTTCTAAAAGCAAAGAGGTAACTCAAAGGTATAGCTTTCCAAAACGAAAGTGGCAAAGTTTTGAAAGAGCAAGCGATGCTTTTACAAAATGTTTAGACTATTATGAGTACTATAACTGTGGGACAACGGCTCTTTGTTCAAAAGTGTACGCACTATATGGGCATAAAGAGCGAGAGCCCTTGTCAGACCATTACCAAATACACACCGCAGTGCTTCATTGTTTTGACCCAGAGAGCAATAAGTGGCATGAAAAAACATCAACTTGCCGTTCTCACTTTGGGTCTAGTCTTTTTGTAGTCAATGGTAGACTCTATGTAGCAGGGGGTTATGAAAATATTGACAGCCCCTTCGCTAACCCTGCACCTGTAGAAGTTTACGACGAACACAACAACAAGTGGTCGGTTGTTGAACAAAAACGTATTCCCAAAAACAACCTTGGTGCAGTGGAAATAGAAGGGAGGGTTTACTTCATCATCAACAAATTTCCAATTGACAGTGGCATTAGAATCCCACCAGAAGAGGTGTATCCTGTTTATCTGGGGGACTGGAAAAATTTAGGAAACGTTGCCAACAATGCAGCCCTATGTTACGTACCTTTAAAAAGGGAGAGCTTTAAAGCGGACTAAGAATACTTGATAAAAACGCCTTAGGTGGCTAGAACGTTGTCACAAAAGTCGCCGAAAAGGGGGTTTAAGTCGTTCAAATCCTTGCAAGTAGAGTGACGCTTATATCACACTTCTAATTTTTGAAGAAAACAGCTTTATCCACTAAGACTCATGTAAAATTATTCGGAGGTTTTAATGAGATAATAAATCAACTATACTTAAATATCCAAAACTAAAGTTAAATATAAAGTTTGAGTTGTACCCACTTCGATTAGCCATTGCCATATATTAGTGCCGGCAGTATATATCTGTATTGTATATTGCTATATAGCAATAAATAGTCAGGTAAATCACTTTTCTTCCATCGAAAGTTTCTGTTTACGTTCATATTAGAAAGGTTTCTAGCATGTGAACAAGATATTTTACACTAACTCCAGATTAGATTAATTTTCTAGTATTGTATTTCCTCACGTATGATTTCTTAAAAACACCTGTATAGTACTGTTATGGTTAATCAAATAAATATACCACGCTTCTTAAAAGATGTAATTCTTTTGTTACTTCCTGTATCAATAACAAGGAAATATCTCAATTTTTTTGTTGATTCACCCATCGAATGCACGCAATTGTCTTTCAGCTGCGTTGCATTAGTGAGCTTAAGCAAAGGTGTTTTTAAGCGACGGACGTCAACCAGAAGTGAGACGTTTTCTCTTTAAAATGCTTTGGCGCTACCAAGTTTGAAATGCCAAGTGTGTTTTCTCTCTTGAAACGATTTGTCCGAATTTTTTTGCAAAACCATTGCCCAGGAATGCAAAAGGTCTACTTCCGGTTGTCCTGCGTCGCTCAAAATCTTCTTTGCTTCAGCTCCCCATCATCTTAAATTGACTGTGTACCTTGCTTTTCTATAGATAACTTCTAGTCTTTTCCAGTTCTAGACAGATTGCTGACAATAAACAAAAACTCAATGTTTGAAAATTTCCCATTGTCCTTTCCACGTGGCATCAAATCCTGCAAACAATAACGTTAACTGATTTGGTTTACTTTAGGGGATGTTCTCTGATGAATCAATTTGCCTTAACATACCGACTTCTACAAGAGATGGGATGTCTGTTAGTTCATACTCTCTCATTCTACCCACTAAGAAGGTTTTAAGGAAAGGATAAAACATCAAAACATCCCTAAAAACCACCACAAACACAAATCAAAGCCTCTCTCAGGTGTAAGATTCTAGCCATACCCGGAACTGTGCAGAGTGACCGGTGATTTTAGATCGTACGGTTTATCATGGTTTTTGTTTTCACTAGGTTTCCGTAGTATTAGTTTACTAAATAACTGTATTATTTCCGAGGAGCATTATACGGCGCTCTTGTGCCGCGTGGTGCCGGCCCCATCGTCCTCATGTGTGGTGGCTGCACGATGGTTCCTGGGTATCGAGGAGCCGCTGAACGAAACTGAGACTGCAAAGCAACAGCGTGAGCTCCAAAGGGAACAGCGGCGTGAGTATGTACAGCCATGGGCTGGGCTGACACAACTTGATGGCGAGGATAATGGGCAGGGATGGCGTGGCACGCAGATGGAATAGGCACAGGGACAGGAATGGAGGGGGTGTGAGCAGTGTACACTTGCTGTATAGCGGGGTTGCCAACATTTGCTTGTGTGGCTTCCCACTGACTGGGGTAGGGGTGGCGATCTGGCTGTGTTGGTACAGATGGCTTGCCACGTCTGTTGGTTTTATTCGTTGAAGTGGGAGTGCGTACACTAGGACCGGCCTGACCAACATCCCACGACCTGCAAAGCTCTTCGCCAACTTTGGGCTCCAACTCCTGAGAACGAAAAGGACGGTTTTGCCTACTTGCAATGACTGATCACCTCAATATCCGATTCTCCACTCTCAGCTGCTTTATCACTGAGCCCTTTCGGCACCCTTTCACGAGTATGCTTCATCCTGGCATTTCCCATTTCTCCAACATCTGTGCATTAACTACACATATTTTGTCACACGACTTCCCACCCTTACATGCCCGACATCCAGATGTAAGCTTTGCTGTCCCATCAATAAGCTGATAGCACGTCCTTATAAATCAAGCTCCGACTTCGTATCTTATATATTTTTTATCTGCAATAATTTACTTAGTGACGATTTTGGCCGGTAGTCACTGCGGTAACTGCATGGCCACAAAACAGAGGGCGGCTTCTTAAAAGGAAACTCTATAATATACCAGAACTGTCTGTACATTCATGTTAAAGGTTTAGGTTAGTCTTACTATAACTTTTATTCAAACTATTTACGAAACGTTTTGGCTGAAGCGCTGCTTTAATGATGGTCGCTTTCAAATAAGGGAGGCGTTTACTCAAAGGGAGTGGACTTCGAACTAGATTAATTAAAATGTAACTCGTAGTCTTAATTCTCTCTTGATTGAGTACTTTAGCCAGAGTGTTTCCTCATCTTTTAATATTGTACTATTCAACGTTTTCCAACTTTAAACAAGACGCCTAAAGTCGTTTCCGTGGGATGCGTTGGTCTATGGAAGCATAATGGCGTTCTAACTAGGTTAATGGAACAAAACAAAACAAAACATCCGCTTGCTTTATCCAGGGTCGAACGCAGGGTTACAAAGTTCGATAAAGTTCCAATTAATGTTTTAATCCAAGATGAAAGTTTAATATTCCAAGATGCTCTTGATACGGTTAAAAATTAATTGCAATGTGTTTCCAAGGTCTCAAAGTTAACATAGTTCCAATGATTATCCCTGATTCCAAGGTATAATAAGTTTACTCATGTCCTGATCCGTGTCCCATCCAGAAGTCCAATCCATGCCGAAAGGAAGGCGTCGATCGACAAGAACAATATTTTCGCGATTTCAACGCCAATCGTCAAGGGTACGAGTTGAAATTTACGCGATTTAACCTGCCATCGTCAAGGTGTTTTCGATAAGAAAAGAAAAAAAACTGAACTCTAGCTGTGCTCGGCAAAAACTGGCGAACTCCGAATAGAAATCTATCGCAAATCACGGCCCGCAACCAGACGCTACTAAAACCTTATGAAAAAGCTAGACGTAAACAAAAAAGAATCATGAAGGAAAGAAATAATTTGGCTTAGGTCGCCTTTCGTGACTTGCCAGTATCCCGAAGGATTTCGCTGGTTAACAAGCCATCCTAAACCACGAGTGGGAAAACTCAAGCGCGACAAATTTAGCAAGAAACGTTCTGATTTCAACGTTCTTCAGAGAAAGCAAATCGATTAAACATCGATACAGATTTTGTACAATCTGATTGGTCGGCTTGGAAGAAGAGATAATCGATAAAGATTTTACGCAATCCTATTGGCTGGCTTTGCAATTTTGGGTACAACCGAACCGGATTTTTACCGTGGGAGTGCCACAGGCATCCCACGGAATAAAATTTCTCTGATCACTTACCATGTACGCATATCAGCCTCCCCGGGGGTACTCCCTTATATAAGCATATAGGTATGTGCCACCCCAAAGGATATGGTTTTTTCGCCGTTTTAGGTCTGAAAACGGGAATTCATTTTGTCCATTTTGGTCTGGAATCAGGAATGGTTTTCGAGGGAACTACGGTAGCGTATGAACGATTGTTCTAAATGAATACTGAGAAAGAAAGAGTAATATACGAAATCGAATGCAAAGCGGATTCAATTTCCTAAGTTAAGGAATCTTTTATTTGGCGTTCTAATCTAATAGTGATGACCTCATTTCTTAGAGACCAGGTCTAAAAACGAGTATGGATTTTAGAGGCCTGGTTTGAAAACGGGTGTGGAAAATTTTGGTCTGAAACTGAATAGGGTCAGGATTTGAAGAACGGGGCGGAAAAACCTCACCAAGAATTTCCAGGAGTCCCCCCTGGAATAAGCTTGTACTGCATTGCGCTTTTCTTAGCTTCCTTTTATTTAGTTTTGCTTTTGACCTTAACCACAGGAACAGTTTGAGGCACACTTTTGTTGACCCGGCCAGTAATTCTAACTCAGAAGTTGGTTAGTGCCATAGCAGCCAAAGTCCTAACCTCAGCAGACGCAAGATTTCGTTTGTATCCTTAAAGGCAATTTTGCGCTGTGGTTTTGGGTTACCTAACTGCAGGGCCTAATGACATACGTCCCAATGCTTAGTACTAAAAATCAAAACTGATGAGTCCTAATAAGGACGAAAACAAGCTGTGATATGACTGCGCGGGTGATATGACTGTGAGTTGGTCAATATAGTGTAATACTGACTTAATTGACTTAACTCTGGATTAAAGTTTGAGTTTAACTCGTACGCAAAAAATTATTTTGCAAATGAAAAGTGACTACTCACTTTTCATTTGCAAACGACAGAGTCATCGCCCTGGCCCCCAGTTTGGATGACTGCGTCATAGTTTTGTGACGTTGACGCGTTGGGGACGCTAAATCGCCGGCTATTTGGTCTTGTCAGCTGGACCGCCTGGAGTGCTTTAACACTAGTCCGTTTTAAAAAATAATTACGGAGCAGAAACTGCCTGTTTGGACCTTTTTTCTATGAAAAAATAAAAAGGAGCCGTAGGTCCTGTCTAACACTACATTCACTTACAGTTAACCAGCTCAAAAATAAGTTGGGAAAAGCTTCCACTATATTGTAAAAAATTGGTATGGCGTGTCAACTGTCACCCAAGACGAAAATAGTCTGAGGCCAGCAGCCGATGTCTGAGGCCGTGTTTTCGCCTGCATAATTCTTTTTGTAAGCGAGACAAGAACTGTCATTTTTCCGAGTTGGCAATTTTTCAACACGGTTGTACGACTCTAATTCAGGACTTTCGTGACTCTTCATAACTCACGTGATATCTCCATGATTCATATAAGGTCACGCGATCTTCGGCTTGCATAGCGTAAAACAGTGATACTTAGTTGATTTCAGAATGGTTTCCCATTCTGAAATTCTTTTGTCAAAGTGCGCTCACTTTCGAGAGCAAGGTGAATTCATCGACGTGGGTTTAAAAGTGGAAGGAGAGATATTCTCAGTTCATCGCATTGTGCTCGCTGCCAGCAGCGATTATTTTCACGCCATGTTTGCTCACGGAATGAAAGAGTCGAACCAGGAAGTGATCGAGCTCAAAGATGAAAGCATTTCAGCAGCTGCTTTGAAGATTGTATTGGATTCCATCTACAGCGGAGACCTTCTTGTCAACGATGAAACTGTCTTTGACGTCCTTGCCGCAGCGGATCACCTTCAAGTTACAAGTGTTGTCCAACAGTGTTGTGAGTACTTGCAAACCCAGTTTGTTGATCAGCTTCGATTTGACGTACAAACATATTGTCGCCTCTCCGCGATTGCTGATCGTCATGGTCTAACTGATCTTGAAGAAGCCACGCAAACTAAGATGGCATACGTTTACAAAGAGATCTGTGAAAGTGAAGAATTCTTGTCCCATGTGGATGCTGATCAGTACACTCGCCTTCTTTGTCGAGATGACCTCAGTGCTCCTTCAGAGACATTCGTCTTCAAATCCGTGATGCAGTGGATCAAACACAAGAAGGAAGAGCGAATGCCAACCGCGGCCAAAGTCATCGGAGCGGTTCGTCTGGGCGGTTGGTTGACATCAAGGATTTGACTGAAGAACTCGAAACGGATGAGATGCAACAAACACCAGAGATTCATATGCTTCTCTATGAATCGCTTTTATATTACGTCAAGCCTTCAAACAGTTCCAACTTTGCTAAAGAAAAAGCAAAACTACGATCAACGGGTCCAGTAAGTATATACTGTATGCCATTTGTGTCTTAGAGGGTTTCGCCCTCAGTGGTGGCCTTACCCTCTTCATCCTCTACCACTGCTGACCTTCTGTTAATTCCAACTTTAGTTTCTAAAGTTGTATTGTATTGTATTGTATTGCATTTATTTATTTGCCACACGATTACAATAATTACAAAGAAATGCCAAAAAAAATGTAGGAAGAAATGGCGAGGAGGCCTAAAGGAAACTATAGAGCTTATGTTAATAAGGCCTCCTCAATTACAATTTTTCGAAGATGGCATAAAAATTACGGCAACGGATACAAAATAATATCAGGTGGAAAATTAAACTAATCAATATTACGGAAGTTTACAAATAATGTTGAATATTAAAAGGCTTTTTCGCAAGATTTCTGTTGGAGTATACTAATAATTATTACAAATAAATGCCTAATGCACTTATCAATTGAAACCCTGACTCCCCCTCCCCCCCCCACCCCGGGCCTATGTGGGGTAATGTGGGGGATTTTTATGGTATTTGAAGGCATGGTTAGCCCATGGGGGTGGGGGATTTCTCAGGATTTGCTTAGCATATTCATGGCAGTCCACGGAAGTCGGGGAGCGAGGTGGGGATTTGACTCGTGCCTAGTTTCCTCAGGGTAATTTCTTCACGTGATCACTGGTATTTTGATGTATTGCTCAGCCGTAAGTTTCCTAATTGTTTTTCCTTTCATTTCTCCACTTAGATTAATCCTTTGCGATTTTGCCTTGAGCTTTCATGGTTCGTTGACTGGAAATTGTTATTGTTATTCAAAACTTCTCAAACAATGCAGATACACACTATCTGGTTAATTTTGTTAATATTGCCAGTTACGTGGTCCCTACTCGCTTCTGAGCGTTATCGTGGGCAAAGAAATGAAGAAATCAAAGCTTCGTTTCAAACAGATGTTTCTCCCAAGCATATCAAGCGTTACGGACAAAAACAATGAACTTTGAAAAACTGTTAGGTTAACAAGTTTTCAAAAACCAAAATTTCAATCCGTTTTAATCTTCTTCATGTTTTCCCATCTGTACCTTCTTTTGTATTTGCTGAGTCATTTATACCATCTTTTAATGTCTTCAGTGGTTATTTTTATGTTTCACTCAATTTGGTAGCAGTTCCCACAGCCTACATTTTGGTAAAATTCGTGACACAGCTCGTTTAACGTCTAGTGTTAAACCCATGTGGTTTCTGAAGTTCTATATTTCCTCATTCTTTAAGTCATAATATAAAATATAGCTCCTAGGAACTATTTTATGCAGTCTATTTATAACATCAGCTTGTGAAAGTTAAGGTATGTTGGCTGCTATTTTCAATTAAACTTATCATTGCAGCAATTACTTTCAATGGAGATGGTACAGATTTCCTTTTAACATAAATTTATAGCAATGTGCTACTCCATCATCCATTTTGTACCCTGACTTTTTTATAAGTGGGCAGGGGTCATTATGTTTACTTAATTATTGTCAAATATTTGTTGTATTTATATCTTGGTCTGTTATCATGTTTGCCTTTTTGCTCTAGTAAATTTGTCAATAAAGAAGTTGAAAATTCCAACGAAATGTTAATAAAGTCAGTCAGGGAATTAAAAAGGTTTCCCCACCTGGGTGGGGGTTTTACCAGTCAATATGCCCCAGTATGGTGGGAGTTTGCTAAGATTTGTAATGATGTCAAGTCAAATCCCCACCTTGGCCCGGGGGGGGTCGGGCATAAAGTGCTCTTTTAAAGGAAAAAGGTGAGGAAGCGTTGATGATGTTGGTGTTTAAGGTGTTGTAAAATTTAGGTCCTTGATAAAAAACGGAAAATTGTTTGGTTTGAGTACGACAGAAAGGCAGACGAAATTTACACGAGTTTCTTGTATTATACGAATGAATTTGACTTTGTAAAGTAAATTTACAATTAAATTTTAAAGGTAGAGTATGGTTTTGATAGGAGTACATAAATAAGCCTAGTTGTATTAAGTTTATATCATGAAATTTTAAGATACCAAGATTTTGAAAGATTGGATCAGTATGTGCATCGAAAGTGGTTTTAGCTATAGTTCTGATCACCCGTTTCTGTAAAATGTCAAGACGAATAAGGTTAGTTCTGTAAGTGGAAGCCCAAACTAACTTGCAGTAAAAAAAGTATGGATAGACTAGAGAAAAATGTAGTGTTCGTAAGGTTTTCGTAGATAAATAGAAACTGGATTTACGAATAATTCCTGTACATTTAGAAACGTTATTGGCGACATGTGAGATTTCAGATTTCCAATTTAAATTTTCATCCATGATTACTCCCAAGAAAACTGTTTCTTTTACTTGATCAGTTTTTTGGCTATTAATGACAACTTATTTAGCTCAGCGTTTAGTATATTAGTCAGGCAGTCTTTATCCTTGTGAGACACAAAAACGTTTGTATCATCGGCAAATAATATCAGTTGTAATATTGTTGACGTGTTGATTATATCGTTGATGTAGAGCAGAAAAAACAAAGGCCCTAGTATTGAACCTCGGGGAACGCCACACATGATATCAGCACAAGACGAAACATAACCATTGTATTCTACAAATTGAAGTCTGTTGGAAAAATAGCTCTTAATCCATTTCAGAGCCAAGCCACGTATACCATAGTTTTCAAGTTTATCAAATAAGATGGAATGATTGACTGTATGGAAAGCTTTAGAGAGATCTAAAAAAACACCAACCGCTAATTCACCACGATCAATAGCAGATGAAATTTTTTCATGCAAATCAATCAAGGCAAGCTAAAGAAATTTGCACCCCTCCCCCCCAACGAGGTAACTCAAAGGTATAGTTTTCTAAAACGCCATTGGCAAAGTTTTGCAAAAGTAAATGTTACGAGCGGTTTTCCTGACAATCTGTATTATAGTGGGGCAACGGCCCTTCTTTCAAAAGTTTATGTACTTTACGGACATACAAAGTACAACCTGTCAAGGGAGTGGTGGCAGATGCAAAATGCAGTACTTCATTCTTTTGACCCAGCGAGCAATGGGTGGCTAGAAAAAGCTTCAACTTGCCACCCTCACTTTGGGTCCAGTCTTTTTGTAGTGAATGGCAAGCTATGTGTGGCAGGGGGTTATAATTCTATTGACACATTAAGCAGGCCCTGTGGTGACCCAGCAGCTGTAGAAGTTTACGATGAAGACAACAACAAGTGGTCTGTAGTTGACCAAAAACATATTCCCCAAAACACGCTTGGTGCAGTGGAAATAGAGGGAAGGGTTTATTTCATCATCAATAATTTTCCAATTGACAGTGGAATTAGAATCCCTTCAGGAGAGGTTTATCCTGTTTATCTCGGTGACTGGAAAAATTTAGGAAACGTTGCCAACAATGCAGCCCTGTGTTACGTACCTTTAAAGAGGGACAGCGTTAAAAGGGACTGAGAATAATTAGTAAAAATAGCTTCGGTGGCTAAGACGTTTCCCGAAACGCCGCCGCAAATGGGTTTGCTTCGTAGAACAGCGGAGCTTATGTAAAACTTCTCATTTGAAGAAAACAATTGTATCGTATAGGATCTAGGTAAATTAAACGGCTGTTTTTAATCAGATTATCAATCCGCTATACTGAGATATTAAAAAACGAAAGTTAGAAATAAAGTTTAACTAATTTGTACTTTTGGGTTACTGGATTACCCACTTCGAATAGCCTTTGCTATATCAGTCCCGGCAGTATTTATCTCAGTTTATAGATCTTTATAGTATATTGTTATATAGTGATCAATAGTCCAATAAATCACTTTTCTACATGAAAAGTTCCTGTTTGCGTTGATATTAAGTAAGTATCTAGCACGTGTATATTACACCAACCCCAGATTCATTTTTGGCTTCTAGTTCTCTATTTTCTCACGTAAGATTAATTAAAAACACCTGCATTGTGGTACTGTTATGGTTAACCTAATAAATATATCAAGCTACTTAAAGATGTAATGTTTTTCTTATTTCTTAATCAATAGCGCTTAACGAGAAAATACGCCTACTTTTCTGTATCCATCGAACGCGAGCAAGTTGCATTCTTTTCGGCTGCGTTGTATTGTCTTAAATTGTCCGTGAACCTTACTCTTTTCTAGGTAACGTTTTTTTCTAACTCTAGACAGATTGCTGGCAATAAACAAAAAAAACCATCAATTTCCCATTTTCCTTCCCACGCGGAATCAAATCCTGTAAACATGCCGCTGTCAAGCCAGCGCAAAAATGATCGTTTTTGGATTGGGTAGTTACGAAGGTTACCTTATGAATCACCCGACCACAAACACAAAGCAAAGCCTCTCTCAGTATATTAGATACTGGTTTGGTGATATGGTTGTACGCATGTGTCAGTTACTGGCTACACCCAGAGTTTCGTAGTGTAACCAGTGGTTGATGGTGAGCTTTCACTATATAGTATTTGTTGTCACCAGGTTTCTGTAAGATCATATTGCTAAATAACTGTATTATTTTCGAGAAGCATTAAACGGCGCTCTTGTGCCGCGTGGTGGCGGCCCCATCGTCCTCATGTTTGGTGGCTGCACGATGGTTCCTGGGTATCGAGGAGCCGCTGAACGAAACTGAGACTGCAACGCAACAGCGTGAGCTCCAAAGGGAACAGCGGCGTGAGTGTGTACAGCCATGGGCTGAGCTGCAACAACTTGGCGCGTATAATGGGCAGGGATGGCGTGTCGAGCAGATGGAATAGGCACAGGGATAGGAAGGGAGGGGGTGTGTGTAGTGTACACTTGTTGTATAGCGGGGTAGCCAACATTTGCTTGTGTGGCTTGCCAGTGACTGGGGGAGGGGTGAGGATCTGGCTGTGTTTGTACAGATGGTTTGCCACGTCTGCTGGTGTTGTTGGTTGACCTGGGAGTGCGTCCACTTGGACTGGCCTGATCAACATCCCACAGCTTGCAAAGTTCTTCGCCAACTTTGGGTTCCAACTCCTGAGAACCAAAAAGACGGTTTTTGTCACTAGCAGAATCCTACCTCGAATTTAAACAACAATTCTTTTCAATAACTACAACATACATTACAACATCCCTAACTTTTCACCATTTCTGAGTAATCCATGCCTCCATCTTCCACGTTCTCCCTAATTTATGCCACTACTTGCAGCATACTTACTAATCACCTTAATATCCGATTCTCCTATCTCTTTATCACTGAGCCACATCGGCGCCCTTCCACGGGTATGCTTCATCCTGGCATTTCCCATTTTTCCAACATCTGTGAGTCGACTACACATATTTTGTCACCCTAATTCCCACCCTTACATCCCCGTGATCCAGATGTAAGCCCTGCTGTCCCATCAACGATGTTTATTTTGATAGCACTTCCTCATAAATCAAGCTCCGTATTCACAATAACACCCACTTTGACACCCACCCGTTCTTCATACCATGACCTTTTGTAAATCGTCCTGTTTAACCCATACTTACACTCATCTGCTCGAGTTACTTGGTATCTGTTCTCCTTCCTCTCACACATTACTCCTTTCACCTTCCACCTATACATCACAACTGATCCTTTTTTCCTTTTTATTCACCCTGTGCTACCAATACGGTGATAATGAAATAAAAGCTCACCTGTACACTTGTTACATCTGTACTCTACGCTTTCACACACCTTCTAATTATTTCTCTTTCTCCTGTGCACCATACTGAACCATTTGAAACCTTTCTGTTCTACGCATGCGATGATAATTCTTCCTTGTGCTTCGTCACATATTCATACCCACTAATTATACACCACACTATACCCTTTGCATCTCATCCTTTCTCATTTCCATGCATCTATACATACACGTCAAAAAAAAAATAAACAATACTTAACACAGAGAGGCCATGATGTAAGTCTTACCTGTCCATCACGACTGATTTGAACCTTCTTATGGTCATTCCACGGGTTTACCAGATGATGAGCTTGTTGGAAGGGAATACTAGCTCTAAAGACCAAGGAAAATGAAACGCATTAGTGTTTGCCTTTTTAATCATAGCTACACTCGCTGTATTAGGCAGAACCTGCAAATTTCTGGCACACCCTTTCCGAGGGAGTTCCGTCTACTCAAACGGTAATGTAAGGGGATGGTGCCTTAAGTTTTATCGACATGGTATTAGTTATTCAACAGACTGGGTGATAGAGATAGAAAACATGTAGCACATACTTTTTTATCCATTCAACACTAAAAACTCCACTCAGGGAGCTTGAGCCAAACTCGGGTGACTTGTCCTTGCCAATAGCGGATGTCATCTGTGCATAACCTGTAAGACGAGGAACACGCAAGGTGATTTCAAAGAGTTTGTCTTTTGGTGCAGGCAATCATTAATGCAAGAAGATAGAGATACAGATAGAGACAGAGAAAATCACTTCAACTAAACCGTCACCTTGAAAATGTCCACTTCCTTGCACAGAGAACACCAGAATAACTCGTTTGCTTTCCTATAACAACATTCAAGTGCAAATGTTAACGTTAAAGATAGCGTTGTTAACAGTGTCTGTCTTTACTACAAACAGTCCTAGATGGTGTCGTTTTTCCAGCACAAAGAGAACATAGAGCAAGTATTTTGAACTACTTATTTCAAAAGTAATACAATAATTGTAATGTTTGCGTAAACCTGTTGTAACACAAATCTGATTAGAATCCACTCTTTGAAATCGTTTTTCCAGGCGTAGTCGCACAGTGACATGTAAAACCTCGAAAACCCTTACAACTTAAGTAGTTTGTTCGACTTCAGAGACTTTGGTATTTTAAAATATAACAATATATCGTAATAAAAGTCTCGGATAAACTGGCCAAAGAACTTACCTTAAAAGCTCTGTTTAGTTTCTTTTCATTTGCCAGGGTTGTTGCCCAGATGCCCTTCAACAATAGAAAGAAAACAACGTCGTAAGAATTTCACTTCATCGGACAGGGGTGATAAATTAAAGAAGTAAAGATGAAGACAGATAATGGAAAAATTAGTATGAATCCTTTGGGAACTGTTTGCAAACGGAATGAGAAAAAAGACAGTACTTACCTTTGCCATTGATATGTCTAAATTTCTTTGATTGTTGCATTTCATAATAAAGTAACGAGCTGAAACGAAAACCAAGGATGTGATACATGTAACTTTGACATAATCGCAAAGACCGTCATGTATGTCAATATACAATTTCTTTTCAGACAGTCAAATGGAAGCCAAAGTGCTACTAAGAAATACCAACACTAACCTTCACTTAGCTTATCAGACAGCTGTGCAGGCCTTGACATCCATCCATCACTGGATGTTTTACCATTCTGTAAAAACAAATCAATACTGTCATAAGGCTTTGCTTAGTGTGCTTTGAGGAAAGCCCTCACTGATCAGCATCAGGTTGGATCGGTGTTGGATCGGTGGCATTTTTCATAATAATGAACATAAGGCAGATATGCCAAGCTGGACTGATCATTAGCATGTAATACTGCATATTTGCAGCGAGGGCGATGTGGGCATTCAAGACACGTTCTTCTTCTCACGTTTCACACGGACGTATTTCAGTCTGCATGGTACACAAGAAAAAACTCACTTGTGGAGAGAATGGTCTTTCACTTTTCCCCCGCGGACCTGAACCTGATAAACACAACAACTGTTTGTTAGCTACAAGCATGTGTTAAATTGTTATTTTAACTTCAGAAAGAGTGATAGAGAGTCTAATAAGCTTTCAATTAATGCTGTGGGGTGAAAGCACTTGTGGCAGAATAAACTAGGCTTACAGTTACATAGAGGAAGTTATTTTTACCAGAGTTATCACGCAGGCGTTCCCTCGATGGAGAAAACTGCTCCGGTCGCCGTGTCCTGCAAATATAACGGTAAATATGTATATTCAACGAGACAAACGAAAAGACAACGTGAAAATGCATCACATCTTATTTGACTTCAACATGTGATTGTCACAGGAGGAAATGCTCAACTGTTCCAAAAGTTGTGAAAAGTATTTTGTTGGTAGGGGGAGTCACTAAAATTACTACACACTCTTACACACCTGTCGATTCTAGATCTGGAGTCAGGCCCACTTTCAATTCCTGGAAATATACCATCACGATACAAATACAATCAGTAAATACACAACAACATACCAAGAATAATGAGGCAGCGGACACAACAATGCGTCAAGGAACATTGGTGGAGAGATCAAACACTGCAGAAATTCAGATGTGAATGACTTAATGTAAGTAATTATTGGCCACTGAAAAGAAACCTCGGTCTGAGCGAATCCAAAACGGATCTGGTCCAAACGAGCGTGTCGCATTTTTCTCCTATTGTGGGCTCTTCCTATCACTGCGAAGCAACTGACAAATATAAAGTACTGTGAACACTGGTGGAAGTGTTCACTATCTAAACAAGACAATCGCACACCTTGATAGCTACAGTAAAATACATTACCGGGTCGTGTTCTTCTTTGGCGAGGGTACAAGGTTGGATTCATGATTTGCTCCTCCGATGTCAAGACTGCTGTTATTGCTCGAACAATCATCTTTGTAAAGAAAACAATGAAAAATCCGCCAATGCAGATTACGAGAAAACAAGGATATAGATATCATTATGCCTTTTCTCGGAAGTTACTACAGAGGTGGTTATTTGATAAGCACCGCGCTCTGTTTATAAAAAACGTTTTGCCATTAGTCAATCACAGTTTATATCACAGAAACTGGACTAGACTCCGGCATTAAGGGGCGCTTATATTGTTCCCTAATGACGTTAATTTTAATTACAACTACACAAAGGGATTAATTTTTGTTTTACCTCATCCACTTGCGACCAGGGTCTGGAAGGAGAACGAATCCTCCTGACGAAAAATGCCTGCAACTTGTGTCGTAAATAAGTTACATTGTTCACATCCTACAGTTAAGAAAAGATAATTGCCGTTAATCTTGTAAAACAAGATCACTGTAGTGTACCTTCTATTTAATGATTGAAAACGACCAAGAAGTTACATGACATTCTGTAGATGAGACAAATGAAAGTACCAAGATGACAGCTCTAAAATTCTTTTTAGAAATGTCTGAAATTCTCCAAAGCTCTCTAAATTCCCGAAAATTCTCAAAAACTTTCGTTTTTCTGATGGCGATGTAACAAGAAAGACAGAGTTTTAATTGAAAAACATCGTTTGTTACCAATGTTTAAAAGTTCCAAGACACATCGTTTTATTTATCTTCCTTTCCAAACGAATGTCCTATAGTGCTCTAGAAACGGCTGTAGCATGTGAGGGGACTGAGCCCTCTCTTGGTCGCTAGGAATACACCCAAAAAAGGTTTTGTCAACGTTTTTGCCCGTGAAATGTTGCCAAAATGTCGGGTGAATGTTCAAATTGCTCTAAAATTCTTGAATTTGTCAATTTTTTTTCTAAAATTCCCGAGACTTTCTAAAATTCCCTTTGATGTCTAAAATTCCCCCCAAAACTGATGATTCCGGAATTATGTAGCTAAGCCTACTAATGATCAATTTCTGTGGATCATAATACGTTTCCGGGAAACTGTCTACCTACCCCTCCCCTAAGCCAATATTAACACTTACTTTTAACTTAGGCCAAAATATTGGCTTAGGGGAGGGGTAGGTTGGCAAATTCCCAGAAACGTATAATGAGCCATAAATCGTATGGACCTAGCCGATGGATTAGGTAATTAGGAAAAATGGAAATTTCTTTCGCAATTGTGTAGCAAGCAACGTCTCGTGGATAGATTGTTATCATTAATTTACTGCTAATATCATTAACCCGTAATCACCTCTACTGCTGCTGTTTAATTAAAGGAGATTACCTCCTGGCTTGCAGAAAGCGCAATCCAGTCATCCAACTTAAACACAACACCTTTTCTCCCATTCCTCTCTCCTTCTTTTTCCTCTGTCTCGCTATCACTGCTCTCACTATCTCGCCCCAGGCTATCCCCAGGATACCTCTCACTGTCACGAGAAGCTGAGAAATCCTGGGTAACGTGTTCAGAGGAAAGGCTGGGACCAGTGAAGAGCGCTACTGTTATGGGCGACACAAGGCTACAGCACTTCACTGTCACTGTGGTGTAAAGTCTGTCGAGAGAGACAGAATACAAATGTATCCTCAAGAGCGACAATAGACAGTTTCCGCAGCCTCTGTTTCCAAGCGAGGCTAAGTGCGAAGCCATTGACACAAAAGTGGTTGTTTATTGTTATGTAAATAAAACTCATTTTCACTAGAAAGGTTTTGCACTTAGCCTCGTTTTGAACTAGAGAAAAATCGAAAATGGCATATCGTCCACCCAAGACTCGACCTCATTTCATTGTGTATTTACTGGGGCGAAGTGAGAGAAAAGCTCATTATTTTATGCTTGACAATTTTTCACACCACGAATGAAATCCATGAGTTGGATATAGTACCTGTTTAAGTTTATCGGCCGCTACTAACCTTCTGTTCACCCAGCATGGAATTTTTAATTATGTTAAGAACTGGTTTTTCTACTTTTCTACTTTCCAGTTGGACATTATGTAAGTTAACGTCAGCTTTGCATAGCCGACACTAGTGAGTGAAACGTTACACAGCATTAAGGATGTCGAATAAACCGTCTCCTAACAATCACGTCGTCCACTCCCTTGCATGGAAATTGTAGAAAAAACCAAGACAAATACCACGAAGGCCCATCCGCTCACCAAAAAAAGGTTTACGCAGAGAGTGGTTAGGTAGAGTTGATATTAGAGACGGGCTCAATGTACCTTGACATTTCTTCATATATCAGCCAGTCAGATGGTAGTTTAGCGATCGCTTTGGCCTGTGCAGTTGACACAGTATCGCCATGTGCAGGGGGCTGGTACAAAATGGAGGAATTATGAAAACGAGCCTTGCTTTCTTTCCTGAAAGAAAAAAGTTTAATATTAGTTGGATAATTTATACACTTTCACGTTTCCACGTATCGATCGCTCTTCTAGATAATGTTTTCGTTGTCAACCTGAAAATATCTGTTTAACTTAATTCTAACCTATAGCTCAAATTTTATTTAAACGCTTTATACTACCAAACCCAAAAAAACGAAAATAAAATTTGAACATACAGAACCAACTATATTTTAAATCACGACATATCTTTCAAATGTAAGACTTGACGTTAAAGGTCAAATAAATGGTCCCTACTGTGTTGTTAGTTTGTTGGTGCTTCTGTCTACTCGGACCACTTGGGGAAATGTTCCAGCACAGAGGGCTGCCTGCAGTAAAAAATTGAAATAAAATCAAGAGCCTTAAGCTATATAATATTATCAAGTTGCCTTTCACTACATATTATCAGATATTTCACTATATACGTCTTGTTGCCTTTTATAGATACCGTAAATCCTGTATTAAGCCCTCCCCTCTCAAATAAGCCCCCCCCTTTTCAGAGGAGGAAAGTTAATACGCCGCCCACCCCCTCTCTTCCATCCTTATTCTTCACAAATAATTTACGTGGACTGATCAGTTATGGTTTATTCGTGAGGCTGGAAGTTCATATTGTCTTTCGTCTTCGGCCGCATGACCTCCAATTTTATGTAATTAACTTTTTCAACTTTACTTTCTAGTTCTCTGTGGAGGCTCCCACAAGCGAATTAAATACTGTTGACAGTGACTAGTACAACACATAAGTCTAATCTGTCTCTTACTAGGGTATTTTTGCTACTGGTGATACATTTTGCTATATTAAATAAGCCCCCCTCTCTTTTAAGCCCCCCGCCTCCCCCCCTTCAAAAGCGCTTGAAAGAAATAAGCCCCCCGGGGGGCTTAATAGAGGATTTACTGTAGGTGTAAACATCAGGTCCAACTCATCCATCTTACAAACCTGCCTATGTCAGTTAAAGAACATATTCACATGACGTTACAGCGGCTATATTGTAGTTCTTTAGGAGTTGAACTCTTTCCTTATGTAAACGTTTTCTTTTGTTCCAATAAATCTGCATAGATGCTAGCCACGTAGTCAGAATTTTACTTTGTTTACTTTTAGAAATAAATGTTTTGCTTTATTAGTTTTCCAGAAAAGCTTCCTACCTTAACAACAGCCAAGTTATTGGAGTTTGAGTTCAAGTCTCTGATGTCGCCCGCCCCACGAGGACGAATAAAACCTGCAATTTTCAACTGGCCAAGAATCTGGGACCTGTAAAAAAATACAGCATGTCACACAGAGGAGTTTCTTCTTTGTCATAGAGATCATCCTCACGAATCCAAAACAGGACAATAAAGTTCGCAAAAGGTCTTTCTTTCTACCGAACACAAAACCAATGCATTTTATGACCTATTCAACTTGTTACATGAAAGATCTTCACTCCGACCGCTAGCAAAGCACGGCTTTTCCTCCTCCATAAAAGTTCGTTAACTAAATAAACACGCCTGACCTCATGCCAGCCATCATTTCCATCGTGGCTTGAGACAAATAATTTCTGCGGCAGTAGGTCTTATCATATCCTTCAGATCTAGCACGCTGCCAGCCCTGAAAAACGAAAGACACCAAAGAGTTACCAGAAGACTGGTTTTCAAAAGCACACAAATTCTAATTCACTAGTCAATCTCCAGTAAAAACATTCATCCAGCGTCAATCATGGGAAGACCGTCAAAGCAAGTCAGTTCTTTTGGGCTTCACTTCTAAGTGGCAAATAGAAATCGCGAATTGCTCTTGACAGCAATGTTACTGTAATGATAAAGTTGATCATTGATAACTTCTTCTGAAATAACTCCGTAAATTGTTAACTGGTTTACCCTGAATACTTGAACGAAGACCAGGTGATCACTAAACTGATCCAAGATAAATCTCTTTCTGGCTGCTGCAGCTGCACGCCTCTCCGCTGGGTACATGGGTAAGATGACTGTGCAACGGAAAAATAAAGAAAACAAATATTAGGATGTTTTTTCTGCAGAATCACTCTACGTGAACAACAGCAAACACGTTGTCTACCAAGGCAGCAATCATTGTAATAACCTTAAAAGGATTCTCAGTACATATCAGGGTCGCCAATAGGTTCACCCAGGTCTGCCACTAAGTAACTAAGTAACAACTAAGCAACAATGTCCTTGCAAGTATCCATCTAGGTCAGAACACATGCTATTATCATAACTGGGTCACTCCCAGTACATCAGGTCATAAAAAACAAACAACAACAACATCCTTACACGGATCTGCGGATACTAGTGAACAAGCTATGGACACTAATGGTAAGCCTCAGCATGTTTCAGGCGAACAGATGGTAGGGAGCAGCGCATTGCTTTACTATTCCCTTCACACTGCACACACTATCTCGAGGAATGAGCTAGCTACCTCAGCTCAGTCTTTAAAGTCTAAACATAACAAAATCCTTACAAGGATCCCTGTAGGCCAGGGCACAAGCTATAGTCACCACAGGGTCTAGACATTTGAGAACCACAGCGTACAAGATCATCTTTCCTAGCTGTGGACTGAGAGGTAAATCTACAAGGTGTCGACCTACAAAAGCAAAAATAGAGGTAAAGGAAAGTAAGTAACAATCAGACCACTCATGTCGCAAATGCAGCTAATTACAAAAGTCAAGAAAGACAAGGGGGTTTATTGTCTAGAGAAACATGATGACGATTGTCAGCTCTCTTCTTTATCCTTTTCCAAATAAGCAGTGATAATAAAGATTTTTAGAGACCTTTTATACGATAGAGATTATAGCTATGACAAAGTATTTACCTAGGTCAGTCAGATCCTCCCACTGATCTAAAGCATCAATCGTCTGTTGGTTAAAGCAAATTATTACTCATTCAAAATATTTCCCCAATTCTGATAGGCTAAAATCACACGCATAATTGACCATAACCAGTTACTGATAACCAAATTGGGAAGAATTTTGTGTTTAACGACGAAATGAAGTCAAAAATGCAGCCCGCTACAGGTTAAGGCGATAAAGGTGGTTCTGAGTTTTGAGTCTGCGGATGACGACATAAAGTGTGCTTATTCAAAGTCTGACCTAGTAAGGATAATGTCGCAGTTCTACCCTACCATAAAACCGTTGTTATTCTTAATGTAGTTCCGCACTTCTAGAGCTGTCAACTGTGGCATAGTATCCAGACTAACACGAAAGCTAATATAACAATTATAGTAACATGTACCAAAGCTCCTAAATATCAAACTAAGTTGAAACACTAACTTGTATCACATTTTAAAAAGGAAAAAACTTGCTTACGAACCTTGAGCAGAGCAACAGCATTTCTAAGAACCAAAAATGGAGGAGCCTCAGGAGCTTTAGACAGAAAATCAGCGATGGATGTGTTGGGTGATGCTAAAAGCTTTGTGTGCAGACAGAGTTCCTACAAGAAACAAAAAATATATTATACTGTAAATTCTGAAATCAGCTTTTAAAAGAACTTCAAATTGCCGTTGTTCATTAATAAATCAAGATACTACATAATTATTTGGAGTGAGAACTGGGAGAAAAGAAGATGAGGTTATCTTGCCGTACAGAGAAATAGAAACCCTTAACGGATTGAATATCCGATCGGAGCGTAAAATACAGTAGATTGTAGTATTCCGCCGTACTGATACAGAAAGGAAGTATGATGAGACGAATTTCAGTGGAACAATAAATCGGTTTTTCAGTGGTCCAGGACATTTCATTCGCTTGCAACTTTCCTCCCTAAAAGGTTTATATGCGTACTAAGGGCCTGTTTACATGGAGGTGAGGTAACATGTGGCGGGTCACCCCACGGCACCTATCATGTAAACGTGATCAAATCAAAATGAGAGATTATGTGGACAGGCGGGTTACTCCACCTAAGCGGGTTACCTCACCTACCTGGGGTCCCCCACCTCAATGTAAACAGGCTTTAAAAGACAGCATTTGCTCAAGTTACCGTGTAGCATATAACACAGACGTCGCGGCAACCTCAAAATTTAGTCAAAACGGAGCCTGCGGGTAAGCTCTCCGTTTCAAGGGACGAGTAGAGCGAGTTGCGAAAGAAATCGAACTTTCTAGTATCTTTTCGCCTGCCGGTCCCGCGTAACCTCTCACGATATCATGGCCGATGCTTAGCGTGCGTACTCGAACAACCGAACACGTCACCTTATTAAAGCACGAGAGCGCGTAAATAAATTGTTTTCATACTGATTCAATAGGAATTATATAGGGCAAGCACGCGCGTCATGTTATAAGAGAGCTTACTGGTAGGCTAGCCAAAACTTAATGAAAAGAGTCAACTCGAAAATTGACAATTCATCCGCATTCTGTTTACCTGCAACGGAGTTCTTAATAACTCAGGGATCTGATAGTCCAACAAGTTGTCATAGCGAACTCGACTAAATAAGTGAAAGCACATACCAGGAGAGCATCTACCAGCCCTGTAAACGATAGAGTTTACAATGGATCAATGACAATTGATCAAGAAATTGCATGATGTACACAAAAAAACCGGTCATAACGGCACAAAAAACTGCATGTCGTAAATACATGAAAATGCAATTTGACTACAGCCTTTCTTTCTTCTGCGTTACAAAAGTAGACATGAAACCTAAACAAAGACTAGCACTAACAAATGCTACAAGAAATTAAACCAGTTTACTGGTTGAATTTATACTAATTAAGATACAAGATACCAAGTGAGACTAGAAACAAAACCGACCTGGAACAATGGCTAGAAAATTAAATTAAATACAAATCTTACAGAAAAACTTACAACCCTGAAACTAGAAACATATGTACAATACATCCGTTGCATTAAATTCGATTAGAGAGAAATATGCACAAAAATAAAGAAACTATCTTAGACTAGAATTTAAACAAAACAGAAAATCTCATCGACTAGAAAACGTACGACCTCACAAATTAAATAGACTACTCTTTAATGAAAACATCTGTTTCAGCCCCAAAGTTCCAGTTTAGCCCTGTAGGACAATGTCTGATTCAGCCGCTTCTCCTGGAGCCATTTTAGTGCAATTTGAGCCAAAACAGCCCTATCAAATGCCCACGCTTGGACCCATTTCGGCCCGTGGATCCAAATCAGTCCAGCCTAGGTAATTGATAAATTGGACCCCCAAAAAGCGGGCCCTGGGAATAGACTAGACTAAAAGACTAAATTAAGAAAATTACCCTAAGATACTCTCCTTCACTACAGCTAGTACTGTATAAGACAGTTACGAACCTAGTCTAAGAAGCAATAACTTAAATCTTAAGCTGAGGTCAAGGACAACAAATTCGTGCAATTTTTTACGGAACGTTTTTCCTTCATGAGTTGAGATGAGTTGAGAAAGACGTTTCCTATTTTATTACTCGCGCGAACCACACTGTCGCGCAACAAATTTCTTTGTTCCAGGTCGAGCGATTAGTTCTAACTGAGAATAAACAACAACACTGAAACAACGAAAATTATTGCGCAACAACTTACTTATGCGGGTGGTAAAACAAACAACATCGATCACTAACACTGTTGCGTGAATTTGTTGTTTTTACTACAGCATCTCTAATGACAATGACACAAACGCCCCACCTTCCTTTTCGCTGAATGGCACTTGCTTTGGACACCCACACAGGGTGAAGTGTGGACACTGATGTTAGGGCATCAAATGCTTTCTAAGAAGCAATCATAAAGCAGTCACTTCTTTGTAACGAAACTAATAGTACTTCAAATAATTACTCTTTACGTTTATTCAGCAACACGTGTATTCAAACGTCCTAAAATTCTCAAACATATGAATAATTCATGAAAAACAAACAGTGCTCTGCTTACAAGTTTGCGAATGATAGCTTTGAATTTCAAGAATCATGGTTCATTTGAGAAGCTATGTTAAACATTCCACTCGGTGTTTCATCCGATACGCGGACAGCTCGCAAAAAAACTTGACCGCTTCTCGTTTTTTTAACCCTTCACTTCTTGGTGTTTGGATACCAGAAGAAACACTGCTTGTCGTGTTCGATTTATTACTTGAAACACGAGTAAGAGCGTTTATCTGATATCCAAACACTGGAATTGAGTTTCAAAAAGAAAAAAAAGACTCACGAGAGGCACAATCAAGGTATTAAAGCCGACTTTGAGGTAAGAGTATCTGATATCCAAAGCTCCTTAACGAAAGTGTGTTTTATTAGTTCCTCTTCATACGCCACTTGCCCATCTCCCATAATGCACCTTATTTGCCCCCCAAAATTTTGCATAAGCATTGTTTTCAATTTCTCTTGGGACGGTTGTATTTGCCCAGGAGAAATGAAAAACAAAGGTTATGCAAAATTTTGGGGGGCAAACAAGGTGCATTATGGGAGTGAGCAACTGGCGTATGGACAATTACAATGAGTATGAAAAAACCAAAATCAAAACATCATGCAAACCACTGCCAATGTACAGCTATTTCAAGAAAGGTTGTCGGAAAAAATGCACGCGACAATCCCGAAAGGTATTGTGGGTGATTTTCAGTTCACTGTTTTTCAAAGAAATTTCACAGAATTGCACGAGAAGCCATGGACGTATGTTTGCGAGTGCTGAAGGAAAGCAACAAAAGTAGATTCGACAGCTACAGTGTCAGGAAAAGTGCATTGATCATATCCCATATTACCTTTCGGGATTGTCGAGTGCACAGTTTTTCCGACAATCTTTCTCGAAATAGCTGTATACTTAACATAGGTATCATGACATTCTCATACAATGCATTAAAAGGCCGACCCAGTGTACATATTTCAAGTGATAAATTTAGCCAGTAAATTTAGAAACATTCTTCAAACTCTAGGGAAAGTTTAAGTTTCAATATTCTTACACAGAAACGTATACCCGCGGGCAGGCAACCAATCTGCCAACTGATCTTACATTTTACACGTCTTTGTAAAACTCGCAATTTTCTTATTTCTACGGTTTTTTTTCGTTTTAGATCTCCCCGATGTTTTACTAAATTCAGTAATGCGCTACAGTACTGTACAACAAATAGATACATCACCTCTTTTACTTTTCCACTATCGATGACAAATACAACATCATCAATTGTTATACTGGTCTCGGCAATGTTAGTAGAGAGAATCTGTGGAAAAAAGGCCTATTAGCAATTTTGCTATAACTGAAAAAGTATAGGTGGTACATGAATGAGGGCAATTCAAGATTCCTGGTTAGATGTACCTATGACTCTTGTGCTTATATGTTTCCATTAAGTACCACACTAATAAGTTCAAAGATAGGATCTCTGTATAATCTAAAATTAATTCTGGGGATTTGGAAAGTCTAAAAAAAAAATCAGATTCCGTCAGTATTTTCTTAACGATTTATTGCAGGGGGATCTAAATATCTTTTTTTATGGAGAACAAAATTGGAAACATGTTTCTTTAGTTGTCTCCACCGTTTTTTTTTTCTTTTTTGTTAATTCGTTTACGTACAGCCCACCACTTCATTTTAGCCGTTCAGAGTAGTTTTCGCCTATCCTATATTCACTTTTACTTTTTATTTGGGGTGGTTTACAACAGATTATTCCCAGGTTTTTGAATTTGTAACTACAGACTTACAATCTTTCTCATGGTTTGAGGTAGTTTCCGGAAAACCTGAAGAAAAAATACGAAAAAAACGCTGTACCATTACACATAATGCTACCTTCAATACCGTTTGTTTTTACATGCTACTTTTCATAATAGGTTACCTTTCGCTGCTCCGATGGCTGCATGGAAGAATGTAAAGTATAGATTTGGTATCTACCGAACAAAGGGATAAAACCTCATCAGATGGAGAAGATATTACTCTGAAAACTCTGTAGAGTTTGATGTCACTATTCCGCTTAAGATACGCATAAAAAAGTCACGCAACTAAAAAATGCACGCAGGCTAAATAAGACAACAACTACAAGATGGCGTAATAAGGGGGGTGGAGGGGATGGGGCACAGCCCTGTGGCTAGCCTGCATAACAGGCGCTTTATAAGCCAAGCGAGGCAAACGCGAAATTTTGCGTGAAGCGCGAGGCTAGGGGAGAAGAATTTTTTTCTCCTCCCCTCGTCTCGCGCTTCGCGTAAAATGCCGCGTTCGCGTCGCTTGGTCCATAAAGCGCCTGTTATGCAGGCTACACTGTGGCAGGTTATAGCGATTTCGGGTTATGCGCACAAAATAACACAAGCGTCACTTATTGCCCCACTACCGTGGGGTAGCACAAGAGTATTGGCAGAGCATTTCTTAGGGCGGGTAACTAAATTACTGTAATTGTTTGCTTCCGTGCAAGTTAGCCAAATAAGAGATCATGTATTTCATTGAAAAACTTTCATAGTCAGACGGTGTCTCAAAGTTCGACCAGTAGATACAGTTGTCCTATGAGGCATTAAGAATGGGTAAATATTGGGCGCTTTCCATTCAACCAAACGTCTGGTTTGAATTTTCGGCAACTTCCAGTAGCGAATGGAACAGCACTTTCCAAAATTTCCGAAAAAGACGACAACCTCGCAAGGTATACCCAAATTTTCGAAAATTTTTTCCTGGAAGTTGTCCTTCCACTCAACTTTGCTCCCGGAATTTCTTGATTTTGCGGTTGAATGGTTCGCATTTCGAAATTCAACAGCAATGTCTGGACACTTTTAGGAGAAATTTCTGTACCATTTGCCGCTGAGTCCACATTTTCGAAAGTTTTGGTTAAATGAAAAGCACCCATTAACTGGTGACATAGCTATTTAGACGTATCTTGGGTAGCTTGAGTCATGATATATATTTTGTTAGTCCTGACAATTCACAGAACCGTACCTCTTGGAATTTCCGAATTCCTTGTGAGCAATCAAAGTATCCCTGAGTGTGATGATCTCATCATAGCCAGGAAGGAACACCAAAACAGCACCTTTTCAATAAAAAAATTATTGCCAGATGTAATTTATCTTAATAGTGCATAACAAAGCCATGTAGCACAAAATGCTTTGGCCGTTTATCAAACATTCTGATTCTCGTATTCTTTAAGGAAATTATTGATGATCAGTCTGAAGAATTTGTATGTGGATATTGATATCCCGTTTCTCAAGCTACTTCTTCATAACATGAAAACTTACCCTCCTTCTCATTGGTACATATGTATGTCAGTAAAGTGATGATGAGGTCAAGATCAACCTAAACAAACAACAAGATTGATTAAGAAGAAAGATGAAACGGCTGCAAAAAAAGAATAATATAATGAAAATAGAGAGAAAAGCAAGGATCAGCTGTCTACACAATGCAAGACATTATTTTAATGATGAAAAACAAACGTTTTTTTAACTTTAAGACAGCAGACCCTATTTTCCTAGCTTTTCCTTTTGATTAAACAGATAATGATAATACAAAAATGCACTTCAGGTAAAGTATTTTAAATGCTTGTAAATGCGAATGTTAGAGAGACTATACGTGTGTTTTATAACAGGCTTCTTTGCCGATACAATATTTATTATTATCAATGCTCTAAGCTAACATCAAACCCACGGATATGCTAATAGTCCATATAAGAAAATAAGTAGTAATCATCTGTAAGAACCAAAAGTAATCAGCTCCTGTTATCAGTAGCACCAAAAAACTACCAGTATTTTTATACTTTGCATCTCTCAAAACAAGTTGAAGTCCAGAATTTTTTCGGGTTTAATTGCAATTACCACTGCGACAATCATATGTTCATTAAAAACTAAAAACTGCTAGGCCATTGTATGATTGCTCTCAGCACCACAAGGCAGCCAGGTGTGAAGAATTTGTGAGCTTAAGCCTGCATGGTAGGTGCTAGAAAGGGAAGAGGAAAGGGATTTTGGGAATGCAAGAAAGATGAAGAGCTTCTCCCTCGAATATACGAATATTCTAGCATCAAAATTCCCTTCCCCTTCCCTTTCGAATGCCTATCATGCAGGATAATCGAGCTTCAACTAAGGTGACCTCATAGATAACAATTCTTGTTTTCTGCTGGTAAACATTAAGGTTTGATGTTAGAAGAAATGACACTAACATATTGAGAGATTATTTTGCTTAACACGTAAGTATCACTCCTCAACATATTTTAATACTTACTCTATCATCATCAAATGTCTTGTGATAGATAGACAGCAGTTCCTTGCTTTCTTCACTTATTTCATTTGATTCCATTTCCAGAGCTGTTTCATCAACATATGGTACTTTGGGTGATGACCTAAAATATAAGTTTCAGACTGTAAGTTAACCAGTCCTGTGTCCTATTAAAGCAAACTGAATACATAATAGCTACTCACATGTATGATTCAAGGAGTTCAATAACCTCTGCATGCTCCCATTTCTTGGCCCAATCAACTGCAGTCCTGTTGGAAGACCATGAAAGCACATGTGTATTCAAACATCTATCCTTAAATCATTTATCATGCGACAATATTACACCTTCAATGTAAAGTACCTACAGTCAAACCGGGAAGAAGTGAACCCTAGAAATATTTCTGCAATGTTACTGTGGTGCAAGAAAAAAGCTAATCAGGCATGAGAAGACTAAACCTCAAGCAAGAACCTTAATTAGTTTGTGGCTGCGTGGCTTGCACGCATGTCCTGATCTTTGCTGTGATTGGTCGTAACGCAATAAACATTCCTAAAATATTTCAAGTGTTTACAGTTTTCCCAGTTGCACTGTAAAGGGAATATGTCACAAGGATATCACTGTTTAAGGTCAATTCTGTGATATAGTCATTACTTAGTGGTTAGTAGTGCCTTAACCTGTACACAAAATGGTTCTGTAGAGTTATGAAGAAGATATCAAACAAAATTTCATCAGGAATCCCTAACACTTAAATTTTGCAGGCATAGCATTATGACATGAAAAAGTTGACCCAATTTTTTCAAGTTTCAATCCATGTCTATCCTTGGTATCTATTGCAACAGATGACAGGAAACAGTTTTACAGCAAATGCAAGTAAAAATCTTCAAAAAAAACCTGCTTAAGCTCCTTCATACTGCCACCTAAGGGACAGAGCTTTGTGTCCGCTTCACAGAGGTGTTGCATACTTTACAAAGGTAGGATGTGTATGAAATTGGGTATTTCTTAGCTTGCATAAGGGGCATTATTTCCCCCCCTTTTTTCAGGTGAGCAAAGGCAAGCATGGAGCCAGCAAGGAGTGCCAGACGCACATGATGGAGAAAGGCACTGAAAAAATAACTTAATGATAATAATATTTTTTCTGCGCCTTTCCCTGTCGTGTGTGTCTGGCATTTTGGCTTGCTTCGTGCTTGCCTTGGCTCACCTGAAAATGCCAAAAATTAGCACCTGTTATGCAGGTTAGTATTTCTGGGAACAAGTTAACCATTCATAACAGAGAGGTGTCTTTATTACAAATGTGTCCATAGAGGAGGCTTGACTGAGTAACTTAAAACATACACATACTGAACTCCTAAAGGGACCAACCAATGTAATGTTATTATCAAAACGACTACGGAAAAGTGTGTTAAACAAAGGCTACTTCAATATACAGCTACCCTCCTCAAACCTGACCATTTTAGCCAAACTTTGAATAATGAAATATTATTGTTTTCATACCCCAATCTGCTTAATTGTGTATGTACAGTGTGTAACTCACAAAAGCAAATACAACAAAAACGTTTTCCTTACCAGCCGTTTTTAGGTTCCTTGATGTGGGGATTGGCTCCCAAATTTAGCAGCTGCTCTACAACACCAGAACAGCCTCGTCCTGAAGCTACCATCAGAGCAGTGGCCTGGGTCTCAGAATGCTGATAGTCAACTTTTAAGCAATTCAAGAAAAAGTGTGTCAATAGTTTCAAGAAATCACAAGATGTAGAGTAGCATTTATGCGCTCTGAAACCATGAAATGCAAGGTACCCAGTAATTGATTTTTATGCAAAGAATAGAGATATCCTTGATCACCCAAAGGTAACGTAAGTTGTCTTAGGCAATCAGGGACTCCAAGTGCATACAGTTGACAATGTGTTGATATATTTCATTTGCCAAAAATGGTGGATGTATAAAATGTAGAAGAAATACTAAAACAGAATCTCCTTCTACTTACCACTGATGTTTTCATGCATAATCAAGTAAAGAATCTGAACAAATGACTCTTCATCTCCCTACCAACAAAGCAAAGTGCTTAACAATTGACATGAACTTTAATTGCCAACAGGTAAAAGTGCTCATGATTCCCAGGGGAAAACTTACAGATATTCTAGATATGTATATCGTAAACTTACATTTAGCCATGCCTCAGAAATGCTGTTGTCCATTTCTTCCCTCAAATACTGTTCTTCATTGTCACTTTCCTAAAAAGAGAGCTCCATTTAATAACAACTAGCTGTAAATGGTTACCTCAACAAGGCATTCTATAATAAAATTCTGGCAAAGAAACATGGGGACGGACATATAGAAAGCAGAGAGACAATGGGGTCATTCTACAAAAGTTACTCCAGGACAGTGCCACATAGTGAGACAAGTCATCCATGGCTGCAGGGATGAGGGCTTAACTAAAGAAATAGTTTAAAGCAAATGCAGAACTAGGAAAGCCTTGTACAAACATAATGCTTATGGAGGTAAGAAGTCACGCCAATTCAAGCACAAGGCAACATGAGCAAGTTATACCTCTTTTATGTGTACGAGTCTAATGAACGTTTCTTCATCCAAAAAAAGCCTTAACAATTGTGCGCTCCATAGGTACAACATCAGCTTTAGATTCCATGCAATATACACGAACAATGTACCAGATCTAATAACTCAATCTACATGTACCTCATCTTGTTTATCATTACTATCATCATTTGCCTCAGCTTGCACATTATCATCCTCAGCATCATCTAATTTGATAATTTCCAAGCAGGCCTCAAGTTCTTTGACTTCTCCATCATCTGCTTTTTCCTCCTCTTCCACTACATCTTCCTCATCTATGTCTTCATCATCTCCCTCAAGGTTAGCATCATTGTCACATTCCTCCTCTCCCTCCAATAAAATATCCTGATCAATTTCTTCTCCATCAGCAAGTTCTTCCTCAACTGGGAATTCAGGTTCATCTTCAAATTCAAGATCTAGGAAAAAAAAAACATAAAATTAATCATTTTTATGGGCTGCAACTAACAACAATCCTGGAGGGACAAGCCATGTTATTTACTAAGGTAAAGTTAAACATACCCAACAATGATCTGTTATGTACCTTCTGTTGGTTGCAATTCGTCTTCAAATGTCCGATCTGATTCCAAATTATCCACAATGGGGGAACTGAGCTTTTCTAGAATTACATTGCCTCCATTTTCAGGCTCCCCAGCTTTTTTGTCCAGGGTGGATACCTCTTTCTTTGGAGAAGGAGTTGCGTTTTTGTGTGTATCCTCTGTTCCACTTTTATTTTGTGCTGAAAAGAATTATATGCTTAATGAAACTAAAGGCATTTTTGATCACAGAGACCAGATTGTATTCCCCATTACTACACTTTTCAATTACATGTGAACCCTGAATTTTAAAAGCAAGCTTACAAAACTTATTGCATCTTTCGCATGTGTCAATTTGAAGAAATGAACCATGAAACACAGAAACTCACAAAACAGATCAAAATCGACCAATCACAAATCACAAACCATGACCTTTTTTCCTAGGAGGTCCGCTAAAATGATTGACAGCAGCAAAGAATGCAAACATTAGTTGGCTTTTAAACTTCGCAGTTTGGGTGTTGCTGAAAAGCACAGTAAAATGCATGCTTAATGAAATATTGAGGTCTTCAGAATAAGGAAGTGAATTGAAAGAGATAAAGTCTAGGTCATTTATCTACATGTGCAGGGGAAACGTGTGGAAATTACATAGGCTAATACTAGGCCTATTAATGGTGAACCGGAGAACTGTGTATAGATAAGCTGGGTTGTTTATTTTCTATATAACACTAGAAAATGTTTCACCCAAGGAAGGTTTTAACATGTGTAGACATTTTCAAAATAAATAATGGTAAAATGTACATGCTAGTAAAAAAATGGTCGTTTAATTTTTGTTAATTAAAATTAATGCATTACCTTTTGTCATTTCTTTCATATGCTTTGCCATCTCTTTGTTACAATAAGATGTCCTATGACACAAGAAATAACTATATAACTGAAAATACAGTGAATGTTCAGCACTAAAACTTACCAGAGAATAACACAAAATTCAATAGAGTCAACAGAGTGAATTTATGATGACCATAATAATTTATTATATTCAATAATATTGTTCATCCCTTACATTCTAAGCACATCTTCCAGAAAGCATGTTTTAACTTCATAGCATCGACCAGGAACTGTGAACAAAGAATCTGCATGATATAATAATCTAAGGTACTTGTGCCTATTTAATAATTATTACTGCTGCCAACACTGATAACAAGCAAAGCCTCCATACTGATCGGAAGTCAGGCATTACTTTAAAGGAAGAAGTAATAAGAGGATATACTGTCCATTTCCTTTTTTTGTTGTTGTTTAATCCCCTCAGCTTTGGAGCTGAGTATGGATTTTACCAGTTTAAAACTGATCTATAATCATGCTGGAGTATACTTGCACTCAATTGGTGTAAACCTGAAGCCTTAGAAGAGCTCCATGCATTATTGTTCACATGTAGAAAAGGTGCAGAGAAAGTCTGTTTAACAGCTTGCTATTTGGGCAATGTAGCAAGCATGTACTGGCCCAAAAGTCATTTCAAATTGCCCCAAAAAATTTATGATAAGCACTGATTACAGTTTATCAATAATTTCAATTCCCCCAAAAAACTTCACTTGCCCATCAGCCACTACACCCCAAACCTGGGCTTTGGACACTAGTTTCTTTGCATGCTGTGTAGACTGACAATCAGGTATCCAAGAGAGTTTAAGCATACCGTAGAATTAATATATTATAAACTCTGCAATGCATTTACTGACATTACCATGAACAACAGGACATTTTCCAAAGTATTCAATAAACAGGTTGATATCCAAAGCAGCACTCATCAATATCAGTTTCAGTCTTCTGTTAACAGTCAGAAGATCCCTCATGGCAATCATGAGAAAATCAGAAAATCGGTCTCGCTCATGAATTTCATCCTGACAACAATAATTAAAAAGTAAGTTGAGATAAAATCATTAATGGATAAAATAATAATATTAATATAACTAGATTTAGCCAGAGAT